TTGAAGTTTCGTATGAAATCACCTGTAGGAAAGTAGGTCGCGGTACATGTTAAATCAATCATTGAATATGGCTGTGTCCGTAATCTGTGTCAATCACTTACATCTCACATCTAGCCTCCTTACTAGTTCAACAAATTACAGGCAAGTCAATTTAAAGATACGGAATCAAGATGTTTTGCATTAGCTTGGTTTCCTAGGCGTCTCAACGAAGTTTTAAGAATTTCTGATGACTTGTTTTTCCCTTGCTTTGTTCGACTAACTATGGTTCGACGATGAGAATTGTNCCGATATTGTTTCACTGTCACTATTTGGAGCGTGAAATTTGAAAATTGCATACCGTGATTCTCACCTGAGTATCAAAACGCATTTTAGAATCGCTGATCAAAACCTTGGTGCTTTTGAATACCACCATAAAGAACTCGAATTACGTGTGGTTCTCGAGACAAAGACACGCTTTTTACTTTTTGAATGGTCTGATCGCTGATCAAAACCTTGGTTTAAATCCGCTCCAATTTTTTTTTACTCCCTGGTATCCTCGTTCCTTAGGGCGAGAAACTACTTTGGTCCTTACGTAGAGGAGATTTTGAGACAAGCGACTCAAAACATTTTGCCTTAGCACAAAGATAATAACTAGACCAGGCTTGGAAAACAGTATAACTGCATGTAGTTTTGAAAAAAAATAAAGGGCCCTTTGACCTCTCTTACACATATAAACACCACTGGAGCTTTAGGTTTCACTATTATTGTTACTGATTACGCATATCCGAAAACTTGCCGTCAATGAATGGTGGTGAGTCTACTAGTACTATGTTATCAATCATAACAAATCTTTCAACTTTATTTACCGAATAAAACATTTCCTCTCCTGACATTTGACAGCGTGAACATTCACTTCTGCTCCTTGTCCAGCTGACACTAGAAAGAAAGCTTTTAACACTTTTGAAGTTTATGAGATCACCTTTAGGTATGTAGATCAATCATTGAAGATGGGTGTCCGTAATCTGGGAGAATCGCTTTTGTCCCGCTTTTAGACTCCTGACTAGTTTAACAAATTTAAGGCAGGTCAATTCAAATAAATGGAATAAAGATGTTACGGATCAGTTTGGTTTCCTGAGCATATATGAAAAATATGAAAAACCCCAATGCAAAATTACCATAATACAACGCAGAAATATAGCGCAAAAAATGATGACACAAAAATACTACGCAAAAATATGGTGCAAAAATGTGACGCAGACGGTAGGGCGCAAAAATATGGCGCAACTTTATGACGTAGAATTATAGCGCAAAAATATTGTGCGCAAAATTACGACGTAATGAGCGAGAACAGCCAATTCCTATAGTACTATAAACGCGACTTGCTTACACAAGTTGGCTCGAAATTTCACGAGAGAATAGAAAAAATCGACTTCTATAGTAAGTGTAACAGCCTACTATTCATGGTCGCTAAATGTCCCTTCACACATGGGTGCCAGGAAGCAATCACGCTGTTCGGTCTCCTGTTTTTTTTCATGACTTCATTTAAAACATCGAATAATTACTGCGAATGATGAACACTTTTTCACTGGCTCTCGTTAAACAGTGGTATCAAGATTTGAGCATGCGCATGTATCCATCGTGCTCAGAACCACCATCATGATCGCAGGTCACAAGTTCATCCCTAACCGAATCCTTAGTGCTCGTTGGCTTCGTCTTTCTCGTCTTTCTGTTTTCATACTAATGACGGAAAATTTGCATATTCCAATAAACTACTGAGCTAGCATGTGCCACGTACAAGCGTTAAGTATGATTGTGACAATGACCAAGAACAGCGCTGTTGCATGGAGTGAAGAAATAATGTTACTCCAAAATCACCTGTCGATTTCATTGGTTAGCAAGGAATCACAAATTTTAGGCGCTTGCCTCTCCTTTCCGGTGGATATATTGTTCAGGGCAGCGCTTAATCTTGCTGTTTCGTTCCTTTAGCTCTTTGTGAGTTGAGCTAACATTCCATAAACAACGACAAGAAAAAAAGAAGAATATGAAGATACTTCATTATTGGCTTTGTACATAGACATCCGAAAAGTGATACGCCATCAGCTCATAAAACAATTAAAAGGCTATAGAGGGCTTTGGTTTCTCGGGAACATAAATGTAGTTTTTCTAAAGTAAAACAAGAGCACGCAAGGTTCCAAACACTCAGACGAGGTGTTTTGCACTCCATTGTCAGCTGTAATTAATTTTGAGTCACGGTATCTTTTTATTGTTTTTATTAGCGATAAAAATGACCGGACACGCAACATTATTATTCTTCTTAAAATTTAACCAATCAGATTTCAACACGCTTATGTGAACAGTGTGAGTAGGGACATTAAAGAATCAGTGAGAAAGAACCCTGTTGTTGAAAACAGAGCTTTATACCTTTTCATCGAATAAGTTAGGAAAATTGCCGTGTCATGAACGGGACTACACCTTACAGAATTGTAAGTATGATCACATTTGTTGAAGAAAGTTTGCTAATTTCATTTTTGATTAGATTCGATTTATCAAGCTTTTATATTCGATTCACAAGTAAGCAATGGATTGTATACCTTTATTTGAGTTGATTACATATTTAGCTAGCTGTCACGAGCAAGGAAATTGTGACCATAGTTACATTAAAGTAGTTCAAAACAACTGGTAGATGCGTTATTTTACATTATTTTCCTGGTGTGTCTTCAACCCGTGTAGTACCCTAATATGTGGTGCAAAACACAAGGTATTTGATTTAGGCATTACGCTGGCTACAACAAAAGGAACCAACAGTAAGCGGAACGTAGTAATCACTTATACCCTAATAAGCCCTAAGGGTTAAGATAAATCAGGTATTTGCTCGACCAACATTTTGGACCATCTCCTGGTGTTCTCTACGATAGGCAATACATCACCCTACATGTCTTTGAGCATTTATTCATCTGTCCCAAAATGCATTCCTTGAAGTCTTATCTACCACTGATTGCAAATCCTTGTTACTGGTATTACTTCATGCTAAAACAGTGGATAGCGTTGAAGGCACGCTCTGATTGGCTACTCAAACTCGGAATATCCTTTAATATTTCCCTCCACGCAACGCGCATGGTTTTGCGCCCAAGAATATTGTAATTGTTGCAGGAATAAATGAGTTAAAATAGTCTTTTTTGTGCTATATCATCTCACTGTTTTAGTGTATACTAAAACAGCGATTCACCTCAGTGTCAGTGGCTAGTAATGGAAATCTACTTGGCCGCTTCGCAGTTCGGTAAACATCCACTGCTAGCCACTGACGCTGAGGTGAATAGTTGTTAAATAGACATGGCGTGGGAGTTCGAGTAACATAGTAAATAACTTACGTATTGTCACGGACCGTCATGCTCCCGTGTGGAAGGCTTTGAGACGGAAGTAAAAAGAACAAGAGAAGCCGTGGGTGTTAACAGTTACATGAGGTTTTACTGAGGGAAAAAATATACTATTTAAAACTCACTTTAGTAACGACCTAAATGGAAGACTGGAGCGCAGTAGTTAGCTAAATAAAAATTTTAAACTTGCGTGTAAAACTTACATAGTAAAAGAGGGGGGCATTGGATTCCATCAAAACCGAAAACCGCATGCAAAACCGTCTAAACCGATAAATTTGTATATCTCAGTTGTCCAAATCCTAATCGATCTTATACTGTGGTTACAAGTGGAGCAACATAGGTTTCGCGGCTATTCGAGATCAGCAGAGGCATATCACTGCTGCTCAGATCGAAGAGAAACTGGAACCCCAATATGAATAACAGAAAAACCACATTGGATACCAAATCCGAGTACCCGTCAAAATTTTGACGAAAACTGAAAACCAAATGCTGAAAACGGAAAATCCGCAAAACGCAATGAACAACAAAATCGAAAAACCGACGTTTTTTGGCACAAAAACCGAAAAACCGATCTAAAAAATAGCCAAAACTGCAAAACCGCAAAACCGCAAACCCCAATGCCTCCCCTGTAAAACAGATTGACTTGAATCGATAGAGATAACATCATCAAGGGGACTTGAAAACTTATTGAATAGATAAGAAAATGGTTCACAAAACTCAATTAGAAATATATCACTTATTAATAAGTAAACAAAGTACCGGTATTAGTTATCAGCGTGACAGCGTACAATCAATTTTGTAAGCCAGTAGCCTGCAGAGCAGGCGTTCTAGTAAAGATTGGGCGAAAATTAGACCGCGCGAAAAATGGGGCGGGGCGAAAAGTTAGAAGGTGGGGGGAGAGGGAGAGGAGAGAAGGGAACTTCTCTCCTCTCCTTCTCCCCCCACCTCCTATTTTTTCGCCTCGTTCCATTTTTCGCCCAAACTTTAGCCTGCTCTGCAGGCTAGTAAGCCAGAGAAACTCTGGTTTACCAAAATCAAAATCGTGATCTACCAAATCACAATGGTCCGTCAGCTTACGTGCATCAGCCGACTCTTTTTGAATAAGGTCCTGTTTCATGATATTTCCAGAGCGAACTCTATTACAAAATTATAAATCTGTAGGAATAAAATCGAAGGTATTCGTTGTAAGTACTGACGATAGATACCCACCAATGACTGCAAAATGGTATTTTCCAGTTATTGTCAAACTTTTCGATAAGACGGGGGGTGGGGGGTTGTCTGATTTCCATACTTCCAGCTCCAACTGACAAAAATTTTTGAAAAAATACTCGCTGATAACTCAAGGTGAAATATGGTAAATCATACTGCACTTTGTCGAGAGGGTTTTCTTTGACGTTTCAAAAGTCCTTGATACTATGAATAATAATTCTCATAGTTGACTTAGTCGATAAAACCAAATTATCTTACAATGCCCCGTACCGAAGCAGTACCACAGTCACCTCAGGAAGACTAGAAGCTTAATTCCGCTTCTCTTGAACGACTTTGTGGTGCGTCATGTAAGACATACTTCTGCGATCACAAACTGCTCATTGGATACAATATGATGTGTTACACCACCATTAGTTTGTAGCAGGTATTGTTGGTACATACCGTAGTGGTTTGAACAAAATAGATTCCATAGAGGTTAAGGTTAAGGAAAGATATTGTTACTATTAATGAATCAGACAAAGGAATACGAGGAGAAAAACGTGAAAGATGATTCTACTAAAGGAATTGCTTATTTTTGGAGATCGACAAACCTAGAACCGCACATTCGAAGTTTGGCGTTTAGAGAAGGAATATCTAAGGTAGCCTTAGGAAATCACCATACTTTACTTCTCACGTTCAACTCTCAAGTCCTTTCTGTTGGCGATAACTCTTTCGGCCAGCTCGGCCTTGGTGATCTTAAATCCCGAAGGGAGCCCACAGTTATTGATTACTTGCGTGACAAACCGGTACAAGAAATAAGTTGTGGTGGTCAACACGGTGGTGTCATATGTGTCAACAAGGAGGTTTTTTTCTGGGGAGATTCATCTAGGGGACAATGCGGCATAGATGAAACAAAACTTGTTAACCTTCCTTCGCTTGTCCGGTTTGAACGGAGTAGCATCTCGAATGGTAGAGGAACACTGCAAAACGACAGTTTCAAGAAGAGGGAACCTGTCATAATTGAAATTTCATGTGGAGACAGCCACTCACTAGCACTCTCAAGTGAAGGTGAAGTCTGGTCCTGGGGAACTGGTTGTCAACTGGGACATGGTGTTGGAACAGACGGAACTGCTATTCCTAAACAAATAGATGGTTTGATTGGCAAAAATGTAACAGAAATTGCTTGTGGAGCATATCACTCTCTGGCGATTGTCCAAGAGGATGAATCACACCCGACTTTTTTGCTGTCAGGCAGTGATGGAGAGACTGTAACATCAAAATCATCACACAAAATAAAACGGGAAAAATCTGGAAAGAAACAAAGAAAACTATCAAAGGGATCTAGCAAAAGAGGCCAAGTTTCTGGAAAACATGAAAAGCAAAGGGATTTTAAAGTTGAGACAGTTGGAAGTCCATCAGAAACTGAGAAGAATAGTGTGATGCGGACATATCTCAGTTATGGACCAATGGTCGCTGAAACAAATACTGAGGGATATATTAGGGATGTAGCTAATGAAGGAACTTTATTGGTACAAGATAAGCATGCTAAAATCACCTCAAAGAAAGAGGAACCAATCCTCTATCCCTTTGGTGAAGACATCTTAAATATAGATGTTAACAATGAAGATGAGACAGAAATGACTGATGATGCAGCTTCTGCAGTTCATATTCATGATAGTGATGCATCTCTTGACATTATTGACACAGGGTTTTCTTCGCTGGAAAAGAGTGATGTTGATCAGTACCTAAACATTTGCTCTGATCAGTCATTCCAAGAAATATACTCTGCTGAAACTGCAGCTTCTAAAGAAAATATGTCTTACTCAAGTACATCAAATTTATGTCTGTCAACAGTATCTCCATCGAGCCCTACAAGCTCTACAAGTATTACATATTTTATAAGCACTGATTCAGACTCTGAGGATTCCCTTAATAAGGTGATCAAGGACAGTAAAATCACAGAGTCAGCTGCACCCAATAGAACTTCATCTGCTTTTTACAGTGTTATTGGCAGTAGACTCATTAGACCGGATGTCAACCTAAGTAAGTTGACAAGTGCCGTAATGGAATCTGTCACTGGCATGTTTATGTCAACAACACCTGGACAGTTCCCAGTGTTTGATGCTCCAAAAGCTGTTATGTCAAAGGAGCCTTGTAAACAGTGTGGCTTGCTAGGCATGTGTTTGTGTGAAGGTACCACTAGAAACAAATTTAAATTGGCTGGTGCAAATACTCAGGTTTGGTCATGGGGAAGTGGAGGCTGTGGACAGCTTGGTCTAGGAGATACAGAAGATAGGTACAGTAATGTCTTGTTTATGATCATAGGGTTTAATTGATCAACAATTACTTTTTAGGATGCATGTGATTATTATTATTTGAAATAATGACTTATCAATATTTATTCTCTTGGAGTTTTCGGTGCTTTGGTTTTTATCTTTACTAGCTATGGTAAGGGTATACAGTGGACTTTAAGCTGTACAATGTCATAGCTTTAAAATAAAAATCACACTACTGCGAAGTTTGAAATGATTATAACACAAAATCATTTGAAACTTCAACATACTGTATCTTGGTCAGTGATGACTTAATCTTCCCTGTGTATAATTCCTTTTTAAAGTGCAAATAATTGCTCTGCTCTTAAAAATAATTTATATGCATGGATGGTAGTCATTCTTTTCAATTACTAGGAGTAGTTTCAAGACAGAGAATTTTGTTTTCCAAGACTCTAAACTTGAAGGGTACTTGTATTATATCAAAAAGTTAGTGTTCGTGACTCATGATGGCAGTAAGTTGGTCAACTTGTTATTAAATTTCCTGTTGACTGTAATGCATTGGTCTGAAGTTTGTACATCATAATAATAGAGTTTTTGGTTCAAAACCTGTTGTTAACATGCTTCAAAAAATGTTCTACATATTCATGTTTTTATATGATTGCAAACCTTTGAAAAAGTTTGGTACTTTTCCTCGTTGTGCTAAAAAGTAAAGAACAGTTCATTCAACAGAAAAGCTGCGCTCTTCATTAAATAGTTTTGAAGCACAATGAACTGGTACTTTCTGGTTCAAACCATCTACCACATGGTTGAGTATCTATTAAAACTTATGGAATAGCAATATAACACCTATGATACAGTGTATGTCAAGGAAACAATCTGGCCTCTACTTTCGCAAAACAGATTTTATCCATGCTGTATAAAAGAGCTCAGTAATGTTGGAGTGATAAAGCTAGCTGCTGGAACCTTCCACTCATTGGCTCAAACAGTTTGTTCTCAGGTAAGAATCAAGGGGCTGCATGGAAATTAGCTTAAACTACTTTTAAAGGATCTATTATAACATTCACTAGATGTAATTTACATTTGTACATTGTATGTGTATGAAGCATTTTACTTTCATTGGGGCATCATTTATTTCCTGCAGGACATCTCTGAAACTAACACAAAGCATTGCCTCCCTATTCTCCAATCAATGTTTCTGTAGTCACCATGTGGTCTATACTGGGCTTCAATATAGCACTGGATAAGGGTGGGGATTACAGAGAAAGCTTGTTGAGAGTGTGATAACGCTCAAAGCTCAGTTTTGTTTGAGATGGTTTTGTCCCAGATTGTTGGTGACAAAGTCAGTTGCACAGACTAAATGGTTTGAAAGGGCATCAGAAAGCACTCTTCTTTTGCAAAAAAGAAAATTCAGCTCTGTCGGAGCACACATGCCAAACTAACCATACAATGAGATGGGATACTTCTAAAATTATCACCACTTATCACTGCTACCACCAGTGCCTTTGTTTGGAAGCTTGGCATATCAACTCCGCCCATGCTCCTTTAAATCATGATGATGGTGGCTTACTGCCTGATGTCTATTTACACCTCATCAGAAATAACGGCAGCTAATTAGTGAACATATAAAACGGCCTCTTGTTGCAACGATCAGATCACCCCTGATGAAGGCACTAGACAGGAGTGTTGAAAAATTGGGTCGAAGAATTGTAATTTCAGTTACTTAAATTCAGAGTAGCATCAAACCATTTCTGCTTAGTGATAATTTGGTGAAGAGCTTCTTTGTGCTTACAGTTGTCTTCACTAGATTTGACAGATTATTTGTCAAATAAATTGAAGGTCAAGAATGAACATGATAATCACAGGAATTTTTTTCGGAAATTATGTAATAAATAAACACCAACTCATTTTGACTGTAATTTATCAGAACTGTGTTGTAAATAATGAAATTGTTCTTCAACTCACTGTTTTCTTTTTTAGGTTTTCTCGTGGGGAGATAACTCTTGTGGTCAGTTAGGAAGGAAAAAAAGCATGGCTCTCTGTCCTAAAAAGATCAGAGTAAGTGCATTCTACAATAAATCACAATCATTCTTATCTACCAGACTCACTGACACTGGGGGAAAGTAGTAGGAGTTGTAGAAGTAGAGGAATGGCACATTTTTACAAGATAAATTTTGCCATGATATATATATATGAAAATTCCCTATAAAATTATGATGATCAGAATATTTAATGACATCTTATTGACAAAGTGGATTTTTCAAGCCAGTCAAGGTCTACTTATGGTAGGTATCAACAGTATTTTTTCTTTTCAATAAGTGTTTTTCAGATGTGCTCATCTGGGACATTGCAGCTGGAAGCCACTACTCTTTATTCATTGGAGACATGGCCCCTAGTAGGCCTGATGTCTATGTTTGTGGCCGTCAACCAAGGTAAAGGAGGTGGAAAAACAATGAATTCTAATGTTTGTTGTCAACTAATATAAAATGTTTGAATGTGTAGAATGTAGGCTGTGGTTTAAATTTTCTTTGGTTTTAAATTTTTCAAACCATTTTGTTGTTTGAATTTCTTTTGTCCTATTATAATAGTCGTTTTTATATTCTAATAAACAAATTAAGGAAAATTGAGATCAAACTGATGTGACAAAAAATTTTCCTAAAAAGAATAAATGAGATTGGACTGTTGTGGGGATGCTTTTCTTTATAGACTAAACCCAAACATTGAATTAACAGGCAGGTGCCTATGATGTAGTCCCGTTCAAAATTGGTTTTTCTGGGCCATTACCCTATTTTATCAGTTCAAATGTAGAAAAGATAATAATGTAACTATAACATAACGTTTATTTAACTCTTGCAAAAGTGACACCAGATTACATGAATGATAAATACCCAGTTCTGGTGGGATTGATCATTGAACGGCTGGTCTTCCAAGCCCTTAATACTACTTAATTTGTGGGTCATAAAGCTACAAAACTGCTGAAACTGTCAGCTTAGAGTACAACAAGACAAAAGCACACTGCACTCATCATATTTCTAAAAGAAAGTGTAGTTTGATTGTATAGTCAGATCATGTGGATAAGAGTAGCGTCTTACAAGGACTGTTGTCAGTAGAATTGATTGATGTTTTAACAACCCTAGGGGAAGGATGGGGGCATTGGGATCCATAACAATCTGCAGAACCATAAAAAAAAAATTGTACAAAATGGAAAAAAATAATTCATTAAAAACTAAAAACCACTTGAAATTCTGGCTGTCTTTTCCCTCTTCATAAAAAAGATGTGATCCTTGAGCTTCTTCCGGTTGCAAGCACACGAGGCACATCGGAAACTGTTTGACCTTAGCACTCCACCACTCAACAGGCTCTACCAGAAAAAATGAATTGTTTGGCACAAAAAATGAAAAACTGAAAATCCCAATACACCCTCTGGAAGGAGTCACCAGAGTTGAGTGTGTTGTTGACTTCACTTGATTTTGATGATGACAGATTGATGAAACATCAGTCATTACAATTGACAACTGCTTGTCTTTCTCAGGACTACTCTTAACAGGATGATCAGACTATGACAGAATGTTGCCATTTACTGAACCAAAAAGAGAGATAATCACCTATTAGCAAACTGTTTATATCAATACTAAATTCCTTTTCAAGCAATTTACTTTAATTTTTAAATCATCATATTATAGCAACTCACAGAGAACAACAGTTAATTGGTTAAAAAGAAAATTTTTTATTGAGTTCTTTTGTCATAGTGCAATGCCAAGTGTGGCAGCAACAATGAACAGCATAAGAGAGAGCACATCTATGCCTTGTTTATTCAGTGGGGAGAGTTCCACAACAGCCCAGGCAACAACAGAAAAAGGGATGTTATCACAATCACAGTCATTTGATGACACAAAAGAACGTTCCCTACAGCACAGTAGGGTGGAGATTGTCAGACTTACAATGTTCAGAAAGGTTATTTATTTATCTATATTTAACAATTATTCGCTGAAGGCAAGGTGAATATTGTCAAATAATCGCTGAGACGAAGCTGAGGGGATTATTTGACAAAATTATATTCACCGAACCTGAGGCAAATAATTGTTTTAGTATAATTTCAGAGCTGAACAACAGAGAAATTTCTAAAATCATAACATTTTTAATTAGTAACATTTATTAACATTTATTTTAACATTTTATATAAACCGCGTGGAGCGGTTTATATGGCGTCATATAAGGAACTGCTCAACCAATCAAACTGCTGAAAACTCTTTGCTCAGCTCTGAAATTATACTAAATTTATTTATCAGCTTCACCAACAGGCAGGGACCCTGCAACAGCTTGTGCCAATTACTGTGGGCCCATTAAATGGGCCAGACCACATCACAGTAATCTTTTGAGTGGGTTCTGTAACATCCCCTGCCTAACCAAATTAATTAACAGATGTAGGAGATAGGACCTACAGTTTATTTGCCCTTATCTGAGAAGGCTAGAACGTCTATCCATTTCTTGATATTATAGAAAGGTAGCGCATTCTCCTCAGTTATTTTAAGACCTTGAGTGTTGGTCCAGCCAGGGCTTGAACCCTCAACCTCCTGCACAACAGTCTGGCACTCTAACCAATTGAGCTAACCGGGAGGTGGTTTGTAATTTGGGAAATAGAAATCTGTTAATGATTTGCTAAATAAATTGTAATCAGTTAATCTGTAATTTGCGAAACAAGAATCTCTGCAGAAAACACCACAGGCCAGAAGAATGAATCTGTCAGTTCACTACAAGTATGGATTGCAAAAGCAGCCAACCAAATCATTATTATAGCAACATCTAAGAAAAGTGAGAAATGAAAAATCTGCGTGGTGTTCTTTGCAAAATCTCCATTGCATGTATTTTAGGGAAAAAAATCAATGTGTTGTCTATGTGGAAGAAGAGTGGCACCATGAAGCCATAAAGAGCAAAAGGCAATTCAAAATAGTTGCTGGCACTGTAGCCATACTGTATCTAAGCAGGGTTGTCACTAAGTGCCAGTTGCCAGATGAAAAAGCAATGATCACTGGCTAGATTTTTGGCCAGCAATCACTTGGTAAAGCACAACAGGCACTTCTGAGGTTACACATTTACAATCATTCACCAACTTTGAGTCACCTCACTTGAAATTTTAGCTGGCAGCTGTTTCAAATCCCTGCTTCATTTGGTGTAGCTAGGAGATGATGAAATTTTCTGGAGCATTTAATTCTAAAACAGCTAACAGTGTGATTATTGGTTATAATCAACTGCCTAGAAAATTATTTGCATTTCATTAGTCATTCAGTTTAAATCCTCCAAGTGAGTTTTCAGAGAAAAATTTTAGTTACCAAGAAAAAGCGTATTAGAACACACTGTGCTGGTTGTGCACTTTGAAATGTAGTTAACCTTCCCCTGCCCAAACAAAGTGGAGATGGAGATGAAGTACATTTGTGTAGGAGGCCAGAGATTTAGAATTGAAACTTTGATACATGGGAAGGTACTAGGTAAAATGTAACCATAGAAAATGAGGTACATCAGTGATGAAATGTTAACCAAGTTCATACAGGATGCTCCAAGGAATGGAGTAGCATAATGAGGTTAAGCACCAGGGGAGGTGATTGTTGTTTTTAAATTGCACTCAGTTGTTAAGGGTGAAATCTAAGTTGACTATGTAGTGAACGGTTTGTAAACTTTTCCTTAAGGTGGGGCAGCTGAGGAGTGTCAGTGCTGACACAGAACACTGTGCATGTCTTGCTGGCAGGTAATGAGAATAATCATATTATGAATATCATGATTGTAATTTCCTAAATTTCCAAGAGATTTAAATGAATACTAGGTAAGGTCATCTTTTGATTTACTAATGGAGAGAAGGATACTACCAGAATTGCTAACATTTTGACTCCTAAAATTGTTATATGGACACCGCAAACTCCCCTCTCCTACATGTGGGTGCTAACCAATCTATCTTGAACAAAGAAAAATTCAGACAAAGGAATCTTAAGTGATGTTTTTAGTTCCTATTATTTTTATTATTATTTTTTATTATTATTATTTTTATTATTATTTATTATTATTATTATTTTGACCTGCAGTTTTTAGTAATGCATTAATTAAGAATTTTGATTTCCTCTTGACATGCCAGATAAGAGGAAAATTTTATTGACTTATTAATATTTTTTTTTAAAGCTTTAATGAGATGGTGATTTGCAGAATATATCCTGAACATGTAATTCCACCTACTCAATATGATTGGATAATTATACTTATTAATGACTTACAAAATGATACCTTTGATTTGCAGCGACAAGAGCGGAATGTTGGAGATAATGAGTAATCTTGCTAGTGAAGAGAGACTATTTTATTACCAGCTGGCTCTTATTTGGCAAGCTGTTCTGACGCCATTCCTTCAATCAGGTGATCAGTCAGTAACTTATTGTTGTTCTTATAAATGATGTAGAAGGTATCCTGCTAGCGTAAAGACAAAATACCCCTTTTCTTAACTTGAAAGAAATTAATTGAATGTATGGGAAAAGAAAATTAAGTCACATTGAAACTAAAAATAATGCTACAGAAATTATAGAACTGAAGATGATTTTGGCATTTCAATTTCCAATTTTTCAGAAGTATGGTCATGCTTGGCTCTAGGAGAGGTTGGACAGGTCTTATCTTCCATAATACAGGCTTTTTATGTCATTCTGAAATGTGTTTCCACTAGTTTTACATCTGTAACTCAACTTGTGGTATCAATGAAGGACTTTCAAGAGCTGTTCAATCTGTGTTGGTCTGATGATTTTTTACAAGCATTTGAGAGGTATGGCTCGCTGTAAATTGTGATTTATTACAACTTTTATTGAGTTAAAAAATACTGATAGGCGGTCAGGTAGAAATCATTTGTGTATCTCCCTTATATCTTTTCTAGACAGTTTTTGTACATGTTACTTGAAAGATTAATTCTTTTTTGTCAGCTTTTCCAATATACTCATTTCAAAATTATTAAAGATAATAAATAAATGAGAGCTTGCAATTAAATTGTCCAAAGTTAGCTTGTTTGATGTCAAAGAAAACTTGTGGTATTTTATAATCACATTTGTTTTATAAATGCCATAGTGGTGAAGAATTGGCTTTAGTTTCAATCTGGTGTGATAACACAAATAATTACTGCCTCTGTTAGCGATAATTATCTCTGATTTTGAAGGTTTCACTTCAACAAGAACTCGTATATTTAGCAACTTTTTGTCTATATGTATAATTTTTATGTGTACAGTAGGCCAGGAGATGCAAACTTGATGACTGGTTTTGCAAGCATTTTAATCATGCACCATTGCTGTGCTCAAAAGGTTCAACACAGAACATCATTGCAGAAATAGAGGGAATATTGGATGACTGGTTATTTTCCTTTAAGTTTCCTGAACATTTTGGCAGGATCATCACCTTTACTACTTTTGAAATCATGGAGTAATTATGTATAGCAGCTGGTAAAGTGCTCTCCCAAAAGGACTTGATATCTTTTGTTGGTAGTTTCAGCTAACATACCTCCATAAGTGACTACAAACTCTAGGGAAAAGTGATGCATCTGTAGATTTCAAGAGTCTTCTTGAACATCAGTGGAACAGATTGCATTGTGACTCATTGATTGTGAATTGTATAATTTAAATATGAATGTATAGAGTCCAGTAGGTTATAGTGTAAAAGAAACAAAGTCTACATGAAGATAAAACTATTTCCCTTATTCTTTGCCACCTTTTGAGTGACGTTTCAACTCAAGTAACATTTTTTCATTTTTGCTCTTAGGGTTGATCATTCAAATTCACAATCATCAGTAATTGTTTAGGATTCTTGTACTGAAAGTTATTTTGGACTCCAAATATAAGGTAGATGTCAGTAATTATTGCTTTTGTGGCCAATTATTTATTTAGCTGGTCATTTTTACAGGTATTCAGAATCCTTTAGTAATGGAGCAGCATTTGGTGTGTTTTCAGCAGTTTCAAGCATAACAAGGTATGACCTCAGGACACACTTTTACATGTGAATTAATTTCTTGATGGAGTGTACAGTGTATGTATTGAATGTTACAATTCATTATTTAATTCGTAATTTTCAATTGAATAATTGATGATTGCTCATATTAATATGTATGATATAATGGTCTTTTGCAGTGACATCTCATCGCTGAGCGAAACTGTGCTAGGTGATATCTTGGATGATGCTGGTCAGGTGATGCAACGTAAAATGCACGAGCTGCCAAGTGCAGTGTGAGATTAAGTTATTTAACTAATGGAGATTGATGCCAAGGAAAAATGATGATAAATCTCTTTTATTATTCCTTTTACTTCCATATAATAATCTGGTAATTATGTACTCTAAGATATTTTCTCTAAATGATTTCTTTTTATTATAAGTAGTTTTAGTAATTAGTATCAAGTAATATATTGTAGAGCCTATTTTAGAAAATCGACCTTTAGGAAGCAATATTCATATGGGCATTAATACATAATTTTCTGAACAATTTGTAGGAATCTGTTGGTTATGACAATGCTTTTCAACGTGTGATGCAATTTCCATTGTTGAAGATGCAGCACTACCAAGTCATTGTTGGAAAATTTCAGAACACACTAAAACTTTCTCAGGTAAATTTGTCTTGTTGACTGTGAAAAAAAGGAAATTGGAATTAAGTTGGTTCTAAAACAGATATGCTGAGAATACTTTTACTGCGTCAGATGTGGCTTGTGTGTCATTGTGAACAGATGTTAGAGTCATTGGTGGAGTTAAGTAAGTTTATGGTAGAATGAATTTTACAAACTAAATTCTATACAGACTGAAGCAGCTCCACCTTATGTTTATACATTAACAACCAGATAACAAACATCTTTCTCACCACTAGCAAAAGGCGAACACTCAGAATGGTGCACAAAATCTAACAGAGTCTTCCAAATTTATTTTGAGGATCACATTGTTTCTACTTGACAGACCTGTTGGAGTCTATTATTAGATTCAAAAGTAAATTTTATGCAATTTTAGATGATTTCACTTCATGGTTTCAGTTACTTTTATATATTTTTTATGATTCCATTATAATAGGTATTTCCATGATCAGTAAGAGTATGTGGGTTTATGCAATGCAAAATTGTGGTCCCATGCTGTCAGTTAACATTTCAAGTTTGTGTGACTGATATTTTAATTTTTCTAGAAACAGGAAAATATAGTGAACTGTGCAAGAATGGAAGAAGAGGCAAAACGATGGGAACAGCTTATCACTAAAGATGAAAACAGGCAAGCCGAAGCTGAACGTACACTCAAGTTCTGGGTCGAGTGTCCAGCTAAAGTTGCAGTGAGTTATTTATTTCACAGAATGCTTGCTTTTCTTAATATGCACCTGCATGAAAATTCTGTAGAAAAAACATATAGCACATTGTATGTTGATTCTAGGAATTATTTAAGTCTGCAGGCTAGTAAGTTAAACACTTACTGGCAAGAAGGAAATGACAAAGAGAACCCTATAATTAGTTATGCAGACTAGATAGATATAATGACCTAGTTAAGGTTCTACATGTTGTGGGGTCATTTGAAAAAGAAAAATTAAAACAGAAGTGAAAAACAGCAAACAGTGATCGATGTACACATGAAAAAAAAAATTTAGTTGAAATTTATCAAATGAAGAGAAATGGTCTAGTCTCTTTCCAACAAAACTTGTGGTTATTTGACCTGTTTGATATATGTGATGTATAGAATGGTTATCTTTCTCACTACAGGAAATCTTTAAGCATCCATGCAGACGGCTACTAAGGAGTAGCAATGTGCACAGTCTTTTTCCATCTAAGGGCTCAAGATTTTCAACACCCCTCTTTGTTTTATTTGATGATTTTTTTGTCCACTATCAGGTATGCTTAACTTTTATATGCTACACTATTACCATTTTCAGATTAATTTTTTACAGATTATCTTTTTTTTTCAGTAGATAGTTAAGATCTTTCGTAGTTTTTGTGCAACTGACTGCAATTCAGCTAATTGGCCATGTAGCTATTCAACCATGTTGCTAATCAACCATGTTGCTAATCAATCATGTTGCAATCAACCATGTTGCTAGTCAATCATGTTGCTAATCAACCATGTTGCCGGGCATCTGTTCTGCATCAGTAACTGATCACAGATGACATCAAACATGATAAGAAAAACAAGTGGCACACAAAGCTCAGCTGAGTACCTCAATTATATTCTTACCATCTTTTTCCATCTTTGTGATCTATTAATGTACTAACCTACAGCAACATGGAATCTAAAAAAGCAACTAAATATGCTATTGTGACATCACCTATGTGTCTGTCCTCCCATATAATTATCATAAGTAAGAACCAATCAAAATGTATGTACAATTAAGCTCTTATTACCGGATCTAAAAAATGTGATCACATCAAACCTGCTCTTTAAAAACTACACTGACTGCCAGTTGAATCACGTATAATGTTCAAAGTTATTCTTAATTGCTTTTAAGATTCTTCATGGACTTTCTCCAGTCTATTTGTCATCCCTGTTACAAGAATATCCTCCACCAAATCACTTCTTACTGTCCCCACTATGAATTCTGTGACATACGGTGAACATGCATTGTCCTTCTGTGCACCTACATTATGGAATACTCATCCTGATTCTCTTCAATCTGCAGCTTCTCTTTCGTCTTTTAAATCTGCCCTTAAAACATTCCTATTCTGGAAATTTTATTTTTAGCATTGTGAAAAACTACATAGGTTTTTATCCCATTTAACTTTATTTTTGTTAGTGTGGGTACTACTGACTGTTAGTATCATTGTAACAGTTATATTTTATTTTTATTATGCTAGGTAAGTGCATTGAGATTCTTAAATGCACTCATAAAAACCTTATTATTATTATTATTATTATTATTATTATCATTATTATTAAAACCTTATTGATTATGCCTCTGGAGCAATGAGTTTGCCAGAATTTGTACAGCTACAAATATTGTAAAATCTTGATTAAAACACAAATGAACAAAGTTCCACTTTGCTTAAGTTCAAAAACAGCCAATGAGCCTTAAGGAATTTGAATTGAGTAAAGGATTAACACCTCTGTGTGTAACTGCCAATTCTGGATTGGCCTATTGTTTTATGCCTACTTCATGTGGGTACCTTTACTTAAGCTGTTGGACTATTTTATCTTGTAAGCTCATTGTTACTAATTCAACTATTTTAACAAGTCAGATGTAGTTAAAACCATTTTCACCAGTTGGAACATTTTATCCAGTCAGTCCATATTAAGTGTTTGGACTATTTTAACTGGTTTTGCCATTAAAACTGGTTGGATCATTTAACCATTCAGACCATTTTAAGTGGTTGGACCATTTTAACTGGTTTGACCAGTCAAAATGGTCAGATCATAATAACCAGTTAGACTATTGTTTCTCTAGTCAGTCTATTTCTTGTAATTTCGCCATTGTAGGTAGTTGGATCATTTTAACTAGTAGGGCCTTTTTCCTTGTTGAATAGACCAAAAAATGTACCATTTTGACCATTTTATGTACTAGTTAGCCTATTTTCACTGATCTAATCTTTTCATCTAGCAAGATCATTTTAAGGGTTGTGAAATTTCACCTAGTTAGGTCGTTTCACCATTTTGGGTCATTTCACTTTTTTCACCCTCACTTTAACCAATTGGAAGAGTATATTGTTTGAGTTAACTAGTCCATGATGTTATTACCTTTCAAGTCTGCAAAAAGCTTCCAAGCCTTTCCACTGACTACTGTTTGGGCTGAAGGGGTGGATGACACAGAAGGAGTGTTGTGAGTTGACATCATTTAATGAACATAATAAAATAAGTTACATCATAAGTTAATTTGTTGAGCAATCACAAGCTTTAGTTGGTGATCACTTTGTTTATTTTCATGACCTTGGTGTTTGACTCAGGGCTGATATTGTAAGGAGGAATGAGATGGCAGTCACTCTGAGAGGTCAAGGGTTGAATTTCGAGTTATCAGCTTGACGCTAAATTTGAGCTAAGGGAGAGTAAAACTAGTTCAAGTTAATTAAGATCTCGCATTAACCAAGTGTAAGTAAGCTGATAATAAGTGACTAGAAAGTAGCATGAAATCCACTAGAAACCGGATCTTGTTTGAGTTATTGGAGGGTATGAGGTAATTTCAGAGTTTGAGTCAGCAGGCTAGGGTTCCAGCAAGATAAATTAATATCTTCATTAAGTAATAATTAGATTTAATTATGGTGATTGGAGTATGTTAATTAGCAGATAATTTTATTACATGGTATTATAAAAGAATGTCAAGACCAGAATTTTAACCATTTAGACCTAATTTATGCCAGTCATTGACACTGCTATAGCTAGCCGCCTCATCATCACATGATACATATCATGTACAAGTATTGTAAATGTTTTATTGCATTGTGATGAAAAATATAGTCATTGCATATTATCTATAATAGTTATGATGAGTTTACTTACTAACCAAATGTTTTGATCTGATGAGCTTATCCTTAAAGTTGAATTAAAAGAACTAAGACCTTTATTATAGTTATAATAATGCTTGCATCACAATTCAGCAGCTGACTGATAGAGCCTGTGGGGTTAAGTGGCCATGTTGACTTACTATTCATTAAATCATTGAATAATTATTTTATGTTCTAGGAATACAATTAAAATCACAACACCAGAAGAAATATTACTTGTCTGTGCTCCATCAACAGTTGACAAGGTAATGATTAACAATAGTTTAGTCATATGTTACAGGTAGTATACACACTCACATTGCAAAAATGTACAGTGTAGAATTACATGTGGAGAAAAGTCTTTGCTTATTTCCCCTCATAGAGGGAAATCATTTACAATATTCTCAGTCCCTTGAGACATTCATCTGGTCATAATTGAGTCAAAATCTGTGCATGTTGAAGATACAACCTAATTCAACTTTGAGTCCCATTAATTGACTTTGGTCTGTCAAGGCCATAAAGAATATTATTTTTTATGATGGATAAAACATTGAAGCCTACACTTGAAATCTGATTATATTGAGTCAATCTAACCATTTGAGATTTTCTGTTGACTCCAACCTCTAGTCAGAGTGCTTTCAGTCACATAGAAAAAATTCTCCTGTAGCTTGTATATTTGAACTATCATTGTTCCATTGAATCTAAATATTTTGGAATTTGCCTCTTTTCTAAAAGAGGATAATCCTTGTCCCTTTGGTTCAGCATAGGGAAAATTAATAGCTTCCAGTATTAAACTGATATCCTGCTTTCTGAACATACGAAATTGTCAAGGCATTCATACTATTTTTACTCAGTTCACCCCTTACTTTCAAGTAAGCATCCTAGTTTTCAAGGACAAGGTTGTTTTGAGACACTGAAACTGATTTAAATATAATAAATCATGCCAATCATTCTTTGTATGTACATTATGTAACACATAACAAGTAATGTAGCTTACAGCTATCTGTAAAATACAATAAAAAGAGAAAACTCACATATCTCACTGGTATCTTGGACTAAACTGCAGTTAGAAAAAGATTCTTTAATTCAGACTGAGGAAAAAAATGTTACCCCATCTAAGACTATTTGCTAGTGCTACAAGAATGATTTACTGCTACTTTTCTTCATGTTTGTTTTCTTAGGCAGACTGGTTAATGACTATTAATCATGCAGTGGCTGCTATCATTTCAAGAACCACAACATATAGGTAGGTGCAGTGTGTGTCAGTTGTCACACTTTTAGTTGAATGTCATTCCAAAAATGTGGTACATGATTCCAAGCATTATTGATATTAAAAATTCCCATGTTACAATAACATTTAATCATGTTAAACTTTATGACATGTTGATCCAATTATAATGCAGATTGTCAATCTAATTTACAGGGATATGTTTTTTAGCAGACGATGAAGTCCCAGTAAGATGATTACATGAAGTTACACATGATAGTGTGTTTGGAAATGTTTTGAATATATCAACAAAGTTGAAATAGTAAATTGGCCACCGTTACAATTATAAAAGCTGACGTTTCGAGCGTTAGCCCTTCGTCAGAGCGAGTAGGGGAATTGTGGTTTGTGTGTGCTTTTAAAGGCAGAAAAAGGAGCTACGTGATTGGTGGGAAACAGCCTTTACTGTTTGGAAATGTCTGTGCTTTGAGAGAAAAGATGATCTGTCTCCTGACCCAGTTAGTAAAAAACATAATTATACACTGATGTTTAAATGACCTTATCAATCTATCATGTTTTAATACAGACTAGGAGTAGACTCTGTTAATGCTAAGACTGGATGCCTGGCCCCAGCTGCAGCCCGAGAAGCTTCGTATTCCTATGGGCATGATTCTGTTTTGCGTGGAGCAAGTTATCATGGCATGTGGTTACAGGGAAAGCCTCATGGCCAGTAAGTGTCAATTGTTACAAAGAGTTCCCTGTAATTACTGAAATTTATTAGTTTAATTGTTTATCACTTAGAAATCATTTACAATATAATTTTTTCAATTTCCTTGAGAGTGAATATTCTTTTTTAGTCTTTTATTTTCAGAATGGCTATCAAATTCTGTATTGATTCAGAAAGCCTAACTGAAGAGAACTTAAGATTTAAATTTAACCTGAAATTTGTTACCTCAAGGTAAAATTTGTGATCATCTATCTCAGTTTCAACCATAATAATTTGTGTATGCACTGACACCTTTAATGCTTTCAAAATTTGGTCTGAATACTCATGATGTATATTTTCAATCATGGACTATGGTTCAGTGTTGTTTCCACCCAAACTTAAATTACGTGTGCACTTAACTACATGTATTTAAATCACTCAGCGGCTTTGAGATCATGTTCTACACTGTATGTTACCTTTTTCAACAACTGACAACAAAATTGTTGACACAATGACCTTTTCAATTCCCCACTACTTCAATTTTATCCCTTCCACCCTTGTTAAGTTATTCTATTGGTGCCACACCCCCGATGCACCCCCGTGCCAATAAAAAGAAACAATGCTGTACTATGATTCCTTGAACTTTAAGTTACATACACACGTCAGGCAACATTGGATGGGGCATGTGGGGGGTCTTGTCAATGATTTAGAGTGTGATAGAAACAGGAGTGTTATTCTACACATAAATAGGACTCTTCAGTCAGGTCAGATTCTAAATCTGGTACTGGTAAAACTGTAATTCTGTACCACCTGTCTCATTCCCACTGTCTTGTGGGTATCTTGGGAAAGTCAAAGGCTAAGGAAAGGAAAAGCCTGACTCCAAACCTCCGCTGCCTTGCGGCTATTTGCACTCATGGAAAAGGCTTAATGGAAGTAACTCCAGAGCAAAAATCACGAGAGGAGTCCCTCAGGCGGCTGGATGTCAGTGGTGGCTTCCTTCCAGCAACTCCTGCAGCCAAACTGTTCCCAGATGTAATGCCCTGCATTTCCTTGGACCTGATCAGAGTGGCCGAGGGGGGGAGGGGGGAGGCCTGTGTTGTCTGGATAGTGCATGACGTCGATAATCCTCACCCAGGCTAGCGCCCTGGAGAGGTCACTCCAGTCTCACCCTGACTGGTGAGAGCACAACATGCAAGACAGCAATTGTGAGGGCCACAAGTTTATTAGCCTCTGGCTATTAAGTGCTACCCTCTTTAAATAAAGGCTTTCATTCATTCATGAGTTATAAGTCCCTGCACAATTGGTGTAGAGATCGGATGCTATGGGTTGTCTTTGTCAGTGGGAGGGACCCTCGTATCCCACTGGTCAACTCTCGCCTGCCTCAAGCCGGGCAGCCCCTGGCCAATAAGGTGTTGACCCACCACAATCTGTTTGCTTCAGTGGGTGCCTGGAGCTTAGAGTGCCATACTTGACAGGCAGATGGTTAAACCATGCACCAAGCAAAACCAAATCCAAGAAGAAGAAATCGAAGTCTCCAGCTCTTCGTATTGCAAGCTGGAATGTTTGCACAATGCAGACAGGACTGTTTGACAACCTCCAGGAGATAGACCATGTTCACAAGACAGCGGTGATCGATCGAGAGCTACACCGGCTTGGCATTGACATTGAGGCCCTGTAGGAAGTGCGGCTTCCAGACAGTGGGTCCCTGAAGGAGGAACACTACACCTTCTGGCAGGGGAAAGGAGTAGAGGAAACCAGGGAACATGGCATCGGCTTTGTCATTAGGAGCACTCTGCTCCCTATTGTTGAGCCCTCAACTGACGACACGAGGAGAATCCTCACCCTGCACCTCTCCACGTCTGCAGCCTTTTCCAATCTCATGGGCATCTTTGCACCAGCCCTGCTTGCTACACCCAAAGTCAAGGACCAGTTTTACGATCAGCTTGATGCCACCGTCAGCAGGATTCCAACATCGGAGCATGTCTACCTTTTCAGAGACTTCAACACTTGGGTGGGTGCTGACAGGGAGTCCTGGCCAAGAGTATCGGGCCACTACAGCATCGCGAAACTGAACGAGAATGGACAGAGACTCCTTGAGCTCTGCTGCTTCCGCAACCTGTGTGTGACCAACACCTACTTCCAGAACAAAGCTCACCACAAAGCATCATAGAGACATCCAATATCTAACCACTGGCACCAGCTGGACCTGGTTGTTACCAGAGCAACCTCCATCAACAACCTCTGCAACACCAGAGCCTACCATGGTGCCAATTGTGACACTGACCACTCACTTATTGCTTCAAGGGTGAAGGTCAATCCAAAGAGGCTCCACCACTCCAAGATGAAATGCCAGCCAAGGATAAATACCAGCTGGACCTTGGACTCCAAGAAGCATGCCCAGTTCATCCAGTGCCTCAAGGAGACCCTGACCAGTGACCCAGCTCAGAGCACAGTTGACTGATGGAACTCCATGCAGACCACAATCTACAACACTGTAGTCTCGATGTACAGCGAGAAGGAGCGCAAGAGAACAGACTGGTTTGAGGCAAGTGTCCCCACCCTGGAGCTGGTCACTGACACAACATGTTGGTCAAATACAAGAGTGACCCCAGCCAGCAGAACCACCAAGCCCTGAAAGCCACCCACAGCCTGGCTCAACAAACTGCACGCTGCTGCACTAATGACTACTGGCTCCAGCTGTCAGGCAGCATCCAGGTGGCCTCCCAGTCCGGTAACATCGAGGGCATGTACGAGGGCATCAAACAGGCAAAGGGCACGTTAACAAAGAAGTCAGTACTGCTTAAGTCCAAAACTGGAGAAGTCATCAAAGACAAGGACAAACCGATGGGTTGATGGGTTGAGCACTACCTCAACATCTACTCCAGGGAAAATACCATCACCCAAGAGCTGCTTGACAACACTGAGGACCTGCCTGTTCTTGAAGAGCTGGACTCCAAGCCCACACTGGAGGAGCTCAGCAAGGTCATTGATACTCTGGTGAGTTGAAAAGCCCCTGGTGAGGACGGCATCCCTGCAGAAGTAATTAAATGTTGCAAAAAACTACTGGAGCCACTCCATTAACTCCTGTGCCTGTGTTGGAGAGAAGGCAAGGTGCTCCAGGACATGCGCAACACCACAATCATCACCCTGTACAAAAACAAGGGTGATCACAGTGACTGTGATAACTACCAGGGCATCTCACTGCTCAGCATCGTTGGCAAGGTGTTTGCCTGAGTGGTCCTAGCCAGATTCCAGGTCCTCACCAAGTGCGTCTACCCGGAATCCCAATGTGGCTTCAGGAGTGCAAGGTCTACAGTGGACATGATCTTCTCCATTTGTCCGCTTCAGGAGAAGTGTCGAGAGCAACAGATGCCTCTCTATATCGCCTACATTGATCTCATCAAGGCATTTGACCTTGTGAGCAGGAAGGGTCTGTTCCAGCTGCTAAAGAAGATCAGCTGTTCCCCTCAGTTACACAGCATCATCATTTCCTTTCATGAGGTCATGCAGGATGTTGTCAGCTTCAATGAGGGAACCTCCAAGCCCTTCACCATACAGAGTGGTGTCAAACAAGGATGTGCCCTCACACCAACACTCTTCAGCATTTTCTTCTCGGTCCTGTTGAACTACACTTTTCAAGAACTCCACTAAAGGTGTTTTCCTACACACAAGAAGTGATGGCATGCTGTTCAACCTGGCACAGCTGAGGGCCAAGACCAAAGTCCAGACAGTCCTCATCAGGGAGCTGCTCTTCACTGATGAAGCCTCTTTGACCACACACAAAGAGGAGGAGCTCCAACAGCTTATCAGCCAGTTCTCCCATGCCTATAAGGAGTTTGGCCTAACCATCAGCATCAGGAAGATGGAAGTCATGGGTCAGGAGGTCCCATCGTCCCCTTCCATCACCATAATCAACATAGTGCTTGAGGTTGCTGACCACTTCACCTACCTTGGCTCGACCATCTCCAGCAACCTGTCGCTTCACAGTGAAATAGACAAGTGCATCGTGAAAGCTGCAAGTGTGATGGCAAGACTGAGAAAAAGGGTGTGGTCCAACAATCAGCTGACATCAAACACCAAACTCGGGTGTACCAGGTGTGCATTCTCAGCACGCTCCTGTATGGCAGTGAATCTTGAACAACCTATGCAAGACAAGAAAACCGCTTGGAGAGCCTCCACCTCAGCTGCTTGCGTCGCATCCTGGACATCATGGGGCAGGACAAGGTCACCAACACTGCTGTACTGGAGCGTGCTGGCTCCCTCAGCATGCACTTCCTCCTGTGCCAGTGCAGGCTCCAATGGCTGGGCCATGTACATTGTAATGATGACAGCTACATCCCAAAAGATGTGTTGTACGGGGATCTGGCAACAGGACACCGCCCCACAGGCCACCTGGTGCTGTACTTCATGGATGTCTACAAGTGTGATCAGCAGATATTGACCCAGTTACGTGGGAACAGGTAGCAGACAACCGCAGTGTCTGGCAGAGTGCTGTACGAAAAGGGGTGAGGGCTGGTGAGGACAAGTGAAACGAGCTGCTGGAGGGCAAGAGACAATGCAGGAAGCAGTGTCAAGAGTCCTTAGACTCCAGTCAGCCCTCGGCCTTCTGCTGCACCACCTGTGACAGAGACTGCCACTTGAGAATTGGATTTGTCAGCCATACTAGATGATGCTCCAAGGAAGACTAATGACCAATACCATGGTGCTTCCATTATCTGACAGGATAAACAGATGCCTACAACTAAATAGGACTCTTCAAACATGATTTGTCAACTAATTTTTATGCTGATTGTAGAGCAATATATTTGACTGTAGATGTGATATTTACTAAAGATAGGTAGCTGAAAACAATGCAATGAATGTACATAAAGGATATTACATGATGGCAAGAAGATTTGAGTTTTATATTTGAGTGACAAGAACAATATCACATGTTTGAGGGCAACAAACAAGAGAGAGATTATTCATGCCACAAGTGTTTTAGTTCCCAGTAAAATACTCCTGTCCATATATTAAATGAAGGTGTGATGGGGTATAATCCATTTAAACTTGATTGCATCACAAAATTATGTCATCTGCTTTGAGCTAGATTTGTTTTGGTGTGGTGTCATTTGTGCCATTGTTTTGACTTTTTCATTTTGTGAATCAATTTTTAATTCATTTTTGGTCCAGAATAGCCTTGGAAACCATAGCTGTTTGGCCAGTTAATTTCATTCATTTTGTTTTTTCAAACCCAAGCTGAAGAAACTGTTAACCAGAGATAATTCATTATTTTGACTGATTAGCATTGACTGGTTGTGAAATCTGATTGGTTAGAAAATGGCTTTCTACTGGATTTTCATTGGCTGTTGAGCAAAGCAATTAGACTTGCCTGACCAGCCACAAGCTTCCCTCATCCAGGCAGGTCAAATGGGAAAGTCCGATCCTACAGTCACCTATTGCCTTTATGTGAGGGATTTGGAAATAATTTAGGGATGACTTATTCTGGTATTAACACAATAAGAAGAGTGTAATCTACTTTATTAAGTAGGTCACGATGACCCCGAAACGTCGAGTAATAAATCTTTCCTGGTTTTTTCTATGCCTTTGCTTTAGCAAATCCCTGCTGATCAAGTGTAATCTACTTTATTAAGTAATTTGATTTATGATAAACCGTTTTTATTTCAGTGGTGAAATGCACTGGCCTGATGGCCGGCAATACACTGGAGAATTTAAACTTGGCCTGCAGCATGGGTAAGTGAAATGTAGAGTGTTTCTGCAGACTATAATCATCATTGTCATCACCATTAACAATGTTTTCCACCTGTTTCCTGACGTCTAAATAAAGACATTGAAAATGAAGATCATTGTTTGTCTGATATTTTGCATCCATGCTTAGCATGATTTCACATGGGTAATTGTCTACCACCCGCCTTTTAATCCATGTCAAAAGAATGCTCCAGTAGTAGTGCTAAATAATGAAATGCTCTATGTTGAGGGTATGCAGTCAAAAACACAGGCTGAAGCATGCAAGGTCTAAAATTTAGTGAAAATAGCAGAAAATAATAAGGGCTGACATTTAAAACTGAGACATTTTGTTGTCATCAGAGGCACTTTCCTATTTCAAGAGTTTTTAAGGAGAAAATTAATTTTAGAAAATTTTTAGGGGGTTTACAAAGTTTTTGGAGGTTGTTCTGTAAAAGAAAAGCGGCAAGGAAAACGATGCCTTGAAGCAATAGAGTAGGAATTCAACCATGCAAATGACTTCAAATCTGTTTTCTGCTGCAGAACTTAGTGCATCTGCATACATTTTTGAGCTCTGTCCCAGTACTCATTTTTCTACATTAGTGTGCACTAGATTTGTTTATTAGCTGGTAAACATGATGAGCCAACAATTATACCATGAATACTACTCAGACTACTCACATTGTAGTGGGACTTGGTATTGTTTTGTGAAGATTGTCTTTGTAATGACTATTATCATAGAACTGGAAATTGTTTTTTTAAATTGTCACAGAGAAGGGGTCATGATCTTCCCACCCAATGTTGCTGATTACTCTAAAGAAAAGTATGAGGGTCAGTGGGAAAATGGAAAGATGGCTGGTTATGGTGAAGTGAGGTAATACTTTTGATTTTACTTATAGTTAATCATGTATCAATTATTTGTACCTTTGTATAATCAACCAAAGTATGTCACAACTATTGTTTTTTATCTTTTTGTGACCCTTTACAGGAAGGCATGTGTTGGCAATGGCATACTTGTCTGGTCTTGTCTGACATGGCATGCTTAAGGGGGAAGTTAAATTTTCAAATATGTGCATACCTAATGAGAAAATCACAGAATTATGTGATAACTTTTGTGTGCCAAATGGCTTGCCTGGCATACTATGACATGTGTGTGAAAAAACACTTGTGCAATGAGACATTTCTCCAAAAGAGCACACTTGCTTAGTTACTTAACTAGAGTGGCGACATACCATGTAACTTGTATATAATTTCAGTACTAGACATATTGAGAAAGCCTTGTATTGAAACAAAAATTAAAAAAAAAAGAATTTATGAGAACTCAACATTATGAGGCAAGCAAAGTAAACAAGCACCTTATCAAACCAGTGAGAGACTGGTACAAAATTGTACTTAAAGAATTAAAGTTTGTTTATGAGGACTCTTACAGACTCCTGTTGCTGTGACTTTTTAAAGCCATTGGCTGTGACTTTTTCCTTATCCATCAACATGATAATTAAATTTTGCACACTGAGGCTGACTGGCCCCATAGTTGGTTGAATTTTTTTGAAGCTATAATAGTGTTTGAGAATGTAAACATAACAACAACATTTATGCTCAGTTGTCTTTTGAGGACTCAGAATTTTGTTTTGATTGTTTCTTTTGTTTTTGCAAGTTTGATGTTTATTGAAACACTTGGATTATTCACACACCAACAACAGGGTACAGATCATGAAACCATTACCATTCAGTTCGTTGAAATTGAAGGAATAGAGCCATATTAAATGACTTAAGGGTTACCACAGAAGCCTGTGCACAAGTACACCTTTCTGATTGCCAAAATTTTACTTTTGCACCTTGGTGTTGCAGCTATTCTAATGGCAGTGTATATGTTGGTGACTTGAGTGACAACCAGCGTTCTGGCCATGGAAGCATGAAGTCTGGCACTTTGTCTTCAGCAGGGACAACACTTTACATTGGAGAATGGCTTCATGACAAACGATCTGGTTATGGAGTTTTGGATGATATCTTAAAGTAAGGTTTCTAAAGACTACTCTCAAATAACTAGAAAAGAAACAGTTAACTACCTACATGTAAATGGAATAGTTAAAATGTTTTGTGTGGAACAACAGCTGGTGCATAGAGGGCCACAGCCAATATATGGCTTAATGTCACAAACTACCTGACCAATAAGTAATATGGGGGCAAAGCTTTATCCTAGAGAAAAAATTTTCCATAAGATCAAATTAAAGCATGCATTGTTGTCTTCCCTGCAAAGAACAAAGGCATCATAATTTTTCATGCCTCAATCTGCCCAGTGAATTAATTTCTTCAAAAAAAGAGCTTTGCCTCTGAGAATTTTCCTGTCATTTGTCATGGAATGGTACCCAAGAAACGTGCTGCAAAATTTATCAACTTTTCTGCGTGAGGCTTACAGTGAAGTCCAGTCAAGTGTTTCAGTGAGAAATCACATTCATTTTCTTAGATTTGTTTTCAACTTATTTTATCTATTATGATAATTATGTACTTTGTTTTCATTTTGTAGAGGAGAGAAGTACCTTGGCATGTGGGAAGCAGACTATCGTACAGGCCCTGGAGTGCTTGTAACACTTGATGGCATCTACAACCAAGGAAACTTTTCACAGAACAAACTCAGTGTATGTACTTCAAGTTAGCTGATTGTTATGTAAATTTTGTGTTATTTATTTTCTTTTGTGATTCTGTACTCTACTGTGATATTGAAAAAACTTCAAAAGTATAGTGAATATGTTTCTTAATTTAGGGTAATGGTCTTCTACTGTGTGACGATGACACAAAATTTGAGGGAGAATTCATTGGTGATTGTTTGTTGTCTGGAAAGGTAAGATCGGATGACCTGAAGTAAACTGGGTTGTAGATTGTCTGCAAATTGAGATGAAACGATGTGGTTGTACATGTTTGTAGAATTGCAACACACTCTTACTTGGAGGTGAGATTCTTGTTTGAATGGGCTAGTCACTCTTGAATTTCTAGATTTTGTTTATTATAAACGTTTTACTTTATTTAATTGAAATAATATCAAACTTGTTCAGCCAAAATGGTGGGATATTGGCCTGGTCTTGTTTTTTTTTTTAATTTTAGTTTTGTCAGGACCCACGAAAAACCACATTTCCATTGTTTATAGGAGAACTGGCCATAAAAAGATTCATTCACAACATTTTGAGTTTGAATCTAGCAGAAGCAATTACAGAACGTACTTGCTGCTTGAAATTATCTTGCAATATTCAAAGATGATCTTTTAATGCCTGGTCAGAACACGATAAGCCAAAAAAAAGAAATGGTTATTGAAACAATGAATGATAGTCGTCTCTTACTTTTCCAAATCATCATTTGTTGTTCCAAAGTAGATCATTTTCAATGAGTGGTATTGTTTCCTCTCTAGGGAGTGCTTACAATGCCAAATGGAGATTACATTGAGGGTATATTTACTGGCCAGTGGGGAAATGGAATACGAATAAATGGCGCATTTCACAAACTGGAAGCAGGAGGATCAGCAAACAAGCCAGCAAGGTCTCTTCAGAGAACAACTATTTTCTAAAATTAATATTTTAAAGTAGTATCATTAAAATTAAAATCATTGTCGTTGAAATTCTAGCAGTGGGATACTGCTACCGTAGGCTTTAATCCCAGTATTAGTTTGCCCTCAATCTTAAGATTGGGCCTCAGGGTGCAAGGTCATCTTCATAGATTGAGGCTGAGCAAGATCTTACAGTTGATATACACCTGCAGTTTCCTCTGCTTCGAATTTTCATTAGCTAACTGAAAAAGCAGAGGTGCTTACTGAAAGTTAAGAGTATATTAAATCGGAAGCGTTTGAGTGAAGAAGACAACTGGCACGGGAACGTGCACATCCAGGCTTTCCGTGAACTCATGCTCTCTCGAACTCTCTTTTCTTTTCTGTTCCCTTTTTTTCTCGCCTGACCAATCTACTTTGACTTTAAGGAAGTGATGGAAAACGAAACTATTTAAGGGGATGACCTTACGCTCATATATCTCAGCTATGACGACCAGTCCTGTAGCAAGTTCTTTTTACAAGAATATTTCCTTTAGTGCAAAGTAGTTGAATTCAAGTGAAGTAATTTTTGTGAGGTAAGACAGCCCTTCTTTTTAAAGGAAGCGCCTTGTTGATGTAACAGTTACTATAGAGACATCGTTATCCTTTTGTGTGAATTGATCTTAGTATCTTTACTGCGCACGGGGAAGATATTATGTTTTTAAGGAAGGACAAATTCTTGGTTTCTTTGATGTCTAGAAGGCAAATCGTTCTATTCAAATAAAATTTCAAGGGCTTATCTTTTTTTACATCCACAGACGTTCAGTTACATACAACCAATCCCTGATTCCACCTCAGAAGAAATGGATGTCGTTATTTTGTCAGTGCCGTAAAGCCCTAGGATGTAATGGTGATCAAGATGCTGAGCTGTCGGTCGTATGGAAGTCCATATCAGTTACACTGAGAAGTAAGTGGGACTCAAAGCTGATGCAGAGTGAGAAAGACATCATTCTGGAGCTATTGGAAAGCAACAGTGAAATGGAACAAACTGCTAGAGTCACAGGAGATTTGGAAAAGCTACACCCGTATCTATCAAAGGTAACATCTCTTGTTTTTATTACCTCCATGTACAAGCACGAGTAATGAGTCTTCAACTCATTAGGAACCTTAACAAAAGTTCATCGCGTCATTGCCAATAAAATGCCATTCCTTACCTTCTCCCTCAATTCTTCAAATGATCAAATAAATGAAATTAAGAGATGAATAAGAATCATTTAATAATAGCAATAGTAAAGATAACATTGATGGTAATGGTGATGATAATGAAATGATAACAGGTGTAAGTGTATTGATGAACTTGTGTCCCCTTTATGAGTATGACTGGGTACAGGGTTTATTGTAAAAGTAGATCACTTTAGGTAAAACACTCTTAACATACCATCAATTTATCGTTCTTGTAATCGAATTTGTCAGTTTTTATTAGTGACTCCTGTGACGATCGCTGCACTTTCAGAGATGAAATAAGGAACACAAACTCTTATAACTGGTTCTCTCCATCAATAATTAGAAGAAGAAAAAAATGTTAGTTACAATGCCATGTTAGCATCAATCGGACAGGTTCAGACGGCTCAGAGTACATTGTGTTTTTGCAGGCGATGAGCACTAAGCAGCATCCAGTAGGACAACTTGTAAATGGACTAATTGATGTATTTCGAGCAAGCTACATTGGCATGGGCACTCATAGGAGACTGTTACCTCATGCTGTGGCTGAAGTGAAATCTTTTGTCATCAGGGTATACAACATTATACGGTAAGATGACTGATGAGTGAGAGAATTTTACCGCCGCCCTCACATTACATGACATAAAATGTATTTTTCTTAATTTTATCTATATTTTTCTTTATTTTCTTTTTTTCAGTCTCCTATTTCCTGAACTTCCCAACGAAGAGTATGTTCATTTAGATACTACCACGCTGTCGGGTGTATCAAGTCATGGTACAGAAGAGGCTGCTACAAGCAGCGTTCTGCTACACCCCCTGCTCTTCCCCAGGCTCTATCCCCCACTGTTCACCTTGTATGCCTTAGATAATGAACGAGCAGATAGTGCATACTGGGAACGAATCCAGCAGCTAAACAAACGCTCAGACTGGGCACTTATGACTTATGTAGGCATGAAAAGGTCAGAATCTCTACAAACATGATAACCCAGTTAAATAAACCATTAGCTGTTTAAGACTAGTTACTTTATTGATTGTTTGGTAAGACCGATTTTATAAAATGGATGATTCTGTTTGTGGATATGTTTTGTTACCTCTTATTTATCTTACAATCAAACGTCGAAAACAAATGGTTCCGTCATGCGAAAATGTGATTGAAGCTAATAGCTGTTCCTTTGTGTAGCTTTGAGCAGGTCTTTTGAGTAGCACTTCAGTGATGCAGCCGTGATCTTAATCAATATTGTTCCATTCTTCAGGCAGTTTTGGCTCACTAAAGAACAAGATATGGGAAGTCGTTCAGACGAGGTAAAAGAGATTTTCCATGGACACACTTTGCTTTGGTCCAATTATAAAAACAATGCTGACATAATTGAAAGCTCGTTCTGGGAAACTCCTTGAACACTTCAAATTAAGTATCTTTGAGGGCCAAAACGTTAACTCTGCGGTTTCCTATTCCCTTGCTTTAGTTTTTTGCCATAATTTTTTGCTCGGTGATCAAGATATTCCCTGTTCTTTTGGCTGTTTAAGAGCCACAAGGATACTGTATAGTCAGAATCATAGTAAAGACATGGTTGTTACGTTCATCTTTACGTAGAAGAATTTCATTTACCCTTACCGATTTGTCACAATTTTAGGTTAAACTGGAGCGGAGAGAAGCGGAGCATTATGTCAGTGCTGTAGAATCCCTTCGGCAAATTAGGTACTTACCATTTTTTTTTGGTTAGAAATACTCTTTGTTTGATGTAATTGTACAATGAGAAGACCTGTCTGCTCTACTAAGCCCGACCGCTTTCTGTTTGGGCGACATGAAACATACACTCTAGTTATCTCTATTATTAAGTTTTCTTTGATACAAAGCTAAAAGTACGCTTTAAATAAGTTTTAGACAAACTAATGGATTTTCTCTTTGTCATCTGATCTTACTTTTCCTAAACGACTTAAAGTGAGTCTTATATTACAGGGAAATAACGTTGATGTAATCTTCGAGCCTTTGTCTAATGGTTAGAATTGTTGAATTGATGGTGTCTTCAGTTTCATGCTCCGCTGTTTTTTCTAGTGGGCTCAGTTGTTCCATTTGCAGCGGAGGTATGGGGAGGCCTTAAACGACAAATTTTATTAGTTTAATATTTTGCTGGTATTCTAAGTTTGAGTTTAACCTTTGATCTACCTTTAACCAAGCGTGCTGTGGTAACGGCATTGTTACCGCTGGAACCCCTCCCTAACCATTTACATATTTTCATTACAGCACAAAATTTAGCCCGATGGAGAAGCTTGGATTGTTGAAGTCAACGTTTGAGCAGATTAACCAAGTATGTTGAACTTTTGTTGAGGTCAACGATTGTATTAATGATAAAGCAGCTCAACATAATTGGTTACTTTGTCTTTGTTTCTTGGAAGGAGGTTAGCTCATTTTGGCAGGGAGAGAAGAAACTGGTCTCTTTAGATGATTTGTTTCCAGTGTTTCAGTTCGTGGTCATCCGAGCAAGGTACATTGTCTTGTTTTCTTTCCTATACTATTTTAGGTAATTGATTGAAAGGAATTCTTTGTTTACATCACTTTTCCCTTTAAGTTTATGTCTGTATGATTGCACGTTCCTTGTTGTGATTGCAGATACTTTAATATCGTGCATGAAGTCACACTGTCCTGCTTGTTAGCCTCGTATTCAAGTAACACGTTAGTTGTGTGGTGATCGTTTTGCGACACGTTCTAGTTGACGTATGGTCCGTGAATTAATCACTGTTGAGTTTTCTTCACGTCTCACTCATATTCTGGACACGCAGTGACGCTTTACGATACATTTAATTAACATCTTTCGTTGATATTTAGGCTGAGTGTAAAGAAGAAGAGAAAATAAAGTTTAGATTATGAAGGACAATTGACCAATATGTTAATTGAGCATCTAAAAACTGCACATTTCGACTGAGCCCGAAAGATACACTCGAGGACTCGTTCTGGCTTTTCTTAGGCATTCCTAACATTCCTATCCTCAGGCCAAAAATAGATCTTATTTCCCTTGTTGGTTTTCATAGAATACCCCATCTTGGTTCAGAAATTCAGTTTATCGATGACATGGTAGACAGTCATGTTCATGTTGGCGAGCAGGGACACATGTTTACTACGCTTAAGGTACAGTTCACGCCTGACCAGTGCCAGGCTTTTGCTGCAACATTTTGCGAATAGTTTAGATTCCATGTGGTTGTTGTTTTATTTTTACAGTTAAATATAAAAAATATTCTAGTCCACGATGGGGCCACGACAATAAGAACTTCTCCTGTGACAAAGATCAGTATATTACAGCGTTTCGACTGTAATATCAAGTATAGTACAAGTGCGTCTAATAATAATAATCATCATCATCATCATCTTTATTGAGGAAACTTTTTCACAAAAAGTGGTTTTCGAAAAGGAGAAAAAGTGCGAATATATTTAAAACTTACCGCGCGATAAAAAAACAACAGATTATGCCTGATACATATATACCTCTGACCGTAAAAAAAAACTATAAATTTTGTATAAGATTAAGAAAAACCCTTGTACTCCGCCCAGAGAACCTATGATTTTAGCCAGAAGACGCGTAAGGCCTCCATTTGAGGATTGAATATGCGCTAAAAGACTCAAGAGCGACCAAGACTCCAAAACTGGAGAACTAAAGAAACTACAAGACCGAAACTCTAGGCCCCAGGTCTTAGAGGGTTCCATCTCACTCCGTTAAGGTCAACCAAGACTGCTTATTTCTTATGTCTCCAAACTTTTCTTATCGGGAATCACATAAGATATATATGTATGTACAGACGGTCAACACCTTCAACCCTGATGATGGCAAACAGCCCAAAACATTTGGTTTTAACCTTTTTTAACTTTTTAGCCTTGTATATATAATATTTCTTATTAAGCGAACATTATGGACATATAATATTACAAGACTGCTTTGTTTTCCAAAGCTTCTTGGATCTGTTCTGAACAACAACAACAACAACAACCTTTATTTATTCTAATTTCTAATGACTGTTTTAACAAATTGGACATGCCCACGGGTAGCTAGCTAATCTAGGTGGGTCATGTCTTAACTAAGAAAAAAAGTTGGTATACAAGTTTACAGAAATCAGGAAATTAATTAGAGAGAACAAGTATATAGGTTTACAGAAANNNNTTATGTTCATGTACCTGTCTGCCATCAGATGATTGAGTACTGGTTGGAGAAGATGTAGATGCCTTAGTGTTTCTCTGAAAAGTAAGGAGCAGATACAACAACAACAACAACCTTTACAACCTTTATTTATTTATTCTAATTTCTAATGACTATTTTAACAAATTGGACATGCCCACAGGTAGCTAGCTAATCTAGGTGGGTCATGTCTTAACTAAGAAAAAAAGTTGGTTTACAAGTTTACAGAAATCAGGAAATTAATTAGAGAGAATAAGTATACAGGTTTACAGAAATCGGGAAGTTAAATAAAAAGAGTAGGTATAAAAACAAAGATACTACAAAAATAGTACAATTAAGGCTATACTTGTTATTCTAGAAATACATTAAAAACCTTAAGAAAATTTGACCTTTTGAATGATGTTTCGTATGTCGAGATAGGAGTCTTCCGAAGACAGAATATTGAAAAGTACTCTTTTAATTTTTCTCTTAAAGTCATATTTTGAGAGATTCCTTAATGTAAGAGGCATCTCGTTCCAAATTTTTGTTCCAATTGTATAAAACGAGTTCAATTGAATAGAGAGCCTGGACCTTTGTGTGTAGAAGTTGTGCGAAGCAGAGGATCGGGTATTATAGGGTGAATATTAGAAATGTCTTGAAACAGGTCTCGAATACTTCTAGGCGCGTTTTTGTGTCTAATATCAAACATCAGGTTAGCTGTAAGCTCATAATAAGAAAATTGTAGCGGTAAAATAACGGCATCGGAAAATAGAGGAATTGCATGCTGATTGCGGTCAGAAAAATAGATAAAACGTAGAGCTCGTTTTTGCAGCTTTAGAAGCTTATCAAAATATGATTTACACGCCTGGCCCCAAACTATTAGCCCATAGCTCAGATAAGGCGTAACGAGAGATCTATAGATATTTATAAGAGTGTGTTTTGGAACAAAATGCCGTAGTTTAGATATTAGACCAATGGTTCGACTTATTTTAATTGTTATATGATCAATATGATGTTTCCAAGTTAGATGATTATCAATTAGTATCCCTAAGTATCTTATAAATTCCTTACATTCTAAAGCTACATTTTTATTCTGCTCTGAACTACAAATGCATGTTTGCATGTGGTTTTCTACGTCGTCGTCATTGTTGTTAAGTTCATAATTGCTTATTTTTCTCTCTTTTTTTCTTTCACAGGCTGCCTTTTTCCAGATACAAAATGAAAAAGGCTGAGGATTTATTGCTGTGATTAAATCACAAATGAAATATTTATACAACTTTCTATCGTCATCAGTCAGAAATGGAAAAGAGGCATTGTTTGATGAAACCTTAATGGAGCAACAAATGTTTCCCTCAATACCTTATTACGTTTTCTACCTTTTTATGTTTTGTCGATCGTTTTCTATTTCAACCTACTCATAGGCATTGTCCACGAAACTTGTTCAGTTTATCGTCTTAAGTTCATATTGCAAATATATATTTGCTTGTTTAGCTGGGTCATCTTTCCTTTTTCTTTTGAATTATGACTTTGATTTAAGTTTTAAATAGTAGGGCATACACTTGTCACTAAGATGACAGCAGAACAAAAGATTATTGGAAAAACAAAGAAAAGCAGAAAGCCCCTTTAGCACACGATTTGTTAACCAGTCATTGGACACTTTGAGCTACTTCATGCGCGGTTGATCGACGTTTACCTAACAGTATTGACAGTCAGTTGAAACAAAATCGGATTTGCCATTATCTCAATTCTTCAAATTACTGAAAGATATCCTCATTGACTGCGTGGTCAAGGCTTTTGGGTCATTTGAAGAAACCTTTCAGAGGAATTTGGGTTCTTATTTTGTATTCGAATACTTTCCCAGTTTTATAGTTTAGGATCCAATTCACTTATTTAAGTCACAGATAAAGTTGGAGCTTTATTTTTAACTCGCGTAATTAAGCATTCAAAGTAAGACTTGTTTAGTTAAGAATTCATTAAAAGGACTTTTGTGCCTTATTTGTATTTTAAGCTAGAACTTCAACTTTGCCACTCTACCGTAACTTGAATACTCTTAAAAGCTACATGAACAAGTCCAACTTCGTATGTTGCACGATCCTCGCAGTAGATAGCGCTATTTAAGCAATAGCGAAAATCAGACCTGTACGGGATTCGAACCACTGACCTCTGCGATACTAGTGCAGCGCTCTTACCAATTGAGCTAACAAGCCAACTGAGAGCAGGCCGTTAAGTTGATTCGTAATGAACCCGTGAAAGGGATAAATGAGATAGAATAAATATATGAAAATCATATATTTTGAACTGCGGTATTTGATACGTATGTTCTCAGTTGGCTTGTTAGCTCAATTGGTAAGAGCGCTGCACTAGTATCGCAGAGGTCAGTGGTTCGAGTCCCGTACAGGCCTGATTTTTTTCAGGTCTGATTTTCGCTATTGCTTAAATAGCGCTATCTACTGCGAGGATCGTGCAACATACGTATCAAATACCGCAGTTCAAAATATATGATTTTCATATATTTATTCTATCTCAAGTCCAACTTCATTGATCGATGAAACAGGCCCGGTTGCCAGAAAAAGCAGACTTACAATACAGATTCCACATTAGCCCTATTACCCCACTGATCCTTCTGTCTATCTACGTGACGACAACAATCACAGGGATTAGCCAGCTTGTTTCTGCGTAATCTTAACTCTCCTTTAATTAATTTGTACTGTTGTCTAGAAATCAGAAGATTCGGTCAAGGGATGGGCCCCATTGTTTGACGATTTAACTTGTATAACGATTCTTATCCAATCGTACTCTGCACTATGGCATTCGTTCATCAGTTAAAAGAACCACTACGTCCATATCTTGCTTGTGCCCCATTATGTAAGGCATATTGTTACCTTTGAAGAAGTTGTATATTTGACAACTATTGGTAATATTACCGACTATATTCAACTGGTCCAACTAAATGGTCCAACTGGATGAGATGACAACCAGTCATTTGCAACTGGTTAAACTGGTCTTAGTACTTAACATGGTTCATCTAGTAGGAATGGTCGAAATAGGGGCAATTATTTAGGTGGTAAGAATGATTCAACTTGTTAAAAGGGTATAACTAGATAAAATGGTCACACTGATGGTAATTGTCAAACTAAAAAATTGGTGGTAGAATGGATGAACTAGTAAGACGGTCCAACGGATTGAAACGGTCTAAGAAGATAAAACTCCAACCGATTAAAGTGGTCTAATAAGATGAAATCGTCCAACTTTTAAGATCGATTCAATTGGTGAATGCTATATGCAGCTGGTTCAACAAAATTATCCAACTGATTCGTGTAATCTAACTGGTTAAAATGGTCAAACTAAATAACCTGGTCCGACTGGTGGTAGATATGGGCTGGTCTAATTTGATAAAATGGTCGTCCAATGGGTTCAAATGGACCAAGCACATTGTCCTTAATTATTTCGTCCTTTAAGGTAATTATTAATTACCTTAAAATGGTCTAAAAAAAATCACAATGATCCACCTTTTTAAAATTATGCAACCAGTTGTTATGGTTCAACTGGATCCAACCAGTCTAAATTGATAAAATGGTCCAAACGCTAATAATGGCCCGAGATAAATTTCCAACCGGCGAAAATGTTCCAACTACATACGACGGTTCAACTGCCTACGACGGTCCAACTTGAAGTAAAACGTCTAACGACAGACAGTGGTCCAACTGTTTTAAATGGTAAAGTGGGTAAAATTATTTTTCAGGATAAAATGCTTCTACCACCTAAATGGTCTCGTTTGACAAAATGGTAATACCGGAAAATAGTCTAACCACCTAAAATAGTCCAACTTGTAGAAATGGTCTCTCTAAATAAAACGGTCCAATTTCTTAAACTGGTTTTACTACATAACATGGTTGAACCTCTCAACTTGTCAAAATAAAATAATCTAACTGGATAAAGAGAGCCAACCGGTGAAAATGGTCCTTTTGGTTGAAACGGTCTAGATAAAATGGTCCAACCAGTTGAAACGGTCCAATTTGGTTTAAGGGGTCCAACTAGAACAATGGTCGAACTGGTAGAAATGCTCTCTGTTCAACAGTTCCAACAAAATGTCCACCAGTAGAAAGGATAAAATCACTTTAAATGATCCAACTGGTTAACATGATGCAACCAGCTAAAATGGTGAAATTAGAAAAATGGTCCCACCGCTGATAGAAGTGGTCCACTCTATCTATAGATGAAGGTCGAACTAGTAGACATGGTCTAACATGAAAAAGTAGAGAAAGTGCAACCTACCAGCATTGCTGACCGAAAAACGCTAGATCTGCAGGGTGGACTGACAGTTGTAGAATCTTTGTTCTCTTTCTCTGAACATTTCTCTCATTAACTTAGTTGATTATTTGTAATCCCAGCTCAATTTTCTGCTTATTTGTTTTCTCGGTGTTACAGAGTTAGCGGCAAGATATTCTTTAAGGAGTCGTTTGTCAGGTAATCAAGAGACAATAGTTAAGTCTAACATAGGAAAAAGTGGAATGTTGTTGGTTGCCTGTATTTTTTACAAGCGAACAAGTAGTGCTGGGTGGCTTAATAGTGGTTTTTGGGAAGAGAATCCACACTAGTTAGGCCACAAAACTCTAATAAAAAGCAAACCAAAGAACAGCAGCCTTAGCAGTCTTAGTTAACTATGGAAGACGAACATTCAGGCACCATAGTATAAGTGACGAATTACAGTCTGCATGCACCAAGGGCAGAAGAAAGATCGGTAGTCTACGTGAAAATGAGTTGGACTGAAGAGTTATGGCTTGCATTCCCTAAAGGTGAAACTCAGACTAGATGATGTCTGTAGATAAACAAGATAGAGGTTTGCAGTCTGCATGCTGGCTGCATGCACTCTGAGTGGCAGGAACACTTAAACATGCATAACTGATATTAGGAACTAAAATGTTAGCATTAAAATTTCCCTTTAGTGCATTCTCTACCGCCGAAGTTGCTGCTTCGAACCCAGTTCACCAATAACTTAGTCTCGATATTATATGCAAACTACGTACAATATTTTATTAACGATTTCTGTACACAAGCCTTTGAGTTCACATGGTTGGTATATACACAACAAATATAGTATCCTTTAAAACATGTACCACAATAAAGAAATCTACATAACACACAAACAAACGAGCAATGAAGGCCAAATATTCAAGAAGTTGCTTCATCGTTTGGATTTCCCTCCTCATCCTTGACCTCCTCCGCTACACTCTTGTCAGCGGGAGCTGTATCTTCATCTACAGCTTTTGGTTCCTCGGCAGCTGGATTGCTTTCCTCGTCACCTTCAGCCCCTTCAGACTTAACGGCCTCCTCAGGTTTTTTCTCTCCATCGGTACTCTCTTTACCTTCTTCAGAAACCTGTCCATCTTCAGGTGATCCTTCATTACCCTCTTCTTGTTTCTCGGCCTGTCCATCTGGAACTTCAACATCACCCTTCCCGCTAGCTTCATCTTCCTCTTTCTTGATCACTGTTTCCTCATCTAGGATTTCAGGCTTACTTTCACCCTCAGGATTGTCTTCAGTAGCTTCTTGTGGAAGGTCTTCTTTCACTTGAGTAGAACCATCATTGCTATCCTCATTCGAAACCTCTTTCGTACCATCATCTTCACCCTCTTGTGGAGGTGCCTGCTGGACTTCTGATAGAGGTTGTTCAGTTAACTTCTCCTCATCTTTAGGTGTGTCCTCCACGTTTCCATCAGTTTTTTCTGACTGCAAGGCTTCTTGAGTTTCACCTGTAGAAGTGAAAATCAAAATGCGTTTGTGACCATTAATTGATAAATTCCTGATGAAGGAAGGAGTCATTTGAAGGATGACTTCCTGATGAAGGAAGGAGTCATTTGAAGGAAGGAGTCATAGTTACATCCACATACTGTAACAAGTTAAAAATTATGCGCTGTTGATAAGCGAACATATTTGTTCCTCCTCAACATAAACAACAGAAGAGGCAAAATTAAACTTAGGTTGGATCGTGAGGTTACTGGTTCACAGTACAAATACTCTCATAATGAGTAAAAAGTAACAAAGGTCAAATCTAACCAAAACTTTGTATGCTGCGAACTTTTAACCATAAGCCACAAACACAAACAAAACAAATTTCGGAAGAAACGTAATTTAGAAAGTTAGCATGATTTTCAAGAAGCTTATTAACAATCAGCTTGTAGCATTGTTGAAATGTCTTTACGGAATTCTTTATAGTAACTGTAATACTTAGATTAGGTTTTAATTAACTCAATTAAGCTAAACTTACCACAAGGTTAGCATTATACCGCAAGACGGGGTTAGAATGACTCCTTCCAGCAAAATGTTATGGTTAATGGTCTGTCTAACCGCACTGCTTTCGAATTTCATTTTTAAATGATTTAAAAATCAGTTTGAACTGAACACATCCCCACTCGTGGAGCAACTCTATGGATCTCATGTCTATTTTGACTTTGAAATTCTGCTCTGTTGATTTATTAACCAAATTTAGGACGGGATTGATGTGGTGAAGAAAATCTTTCAGAAAGGATAGAGATTGCTAAGTTAAACCTAAGCCATATTAAAGATAGATTTTCTGCTGCAAGTCCTGTGAAGGTTAAAAGAAAAAACATGCATGAATTTTTGTTTCCCCCGTTACAACAAGTACTTGTGAGGTTTGTTGTAATAGTTGAGCCATATCTGCACAAAACTCTTTATCATTTGAGCTGTAATGAACACTTTTGTTTTTATCTTCCATTTATTTTTGTCTTAGCATTGATAAAATGTTTATTAGGTAATTCACAAAGATCTTGTATAAGATTTATGTCTTGAGGACCATGAGTAACCAAGTATTGGTGCATTGTTCTTCATGTATCGAATTGACTATGTTATTTGCCCAATAGGTGTGATTATGCATGCGTGTTTAGGAAGTACTGCAGTTCAAGATAGCAACACTTCTTATGCTATGAATAATTCAATATGACGTTGAAATGATAATAACTATAATTTCAGAGCTGAGCAAAGAGTTTCCAGCATTCTGATTGGTCCAGCGGTTCCTTATATGACGCTATATAAACCGCTCCACGCGGTTTATATAAAATGTTAAAATAAAATTTTAATAAATGTTACTAAAATGTTATGATTTTAGAAATTTCTCTGTTGTTCAGCTCTGAAATTATACTAAAACAATTATTCGCCTAAGGTTCGGTGAATATTGTCGAATAATCCCCTCGACTTCGTCTCGGGCATTATTCGACGATATGTCATGATCAAGCTGTTTACTGAGTTAGTTTATGCTTCCTAAGGTGGAGCAAAGTTAGTGTGCTTATTTTCAGATTAAAAGTTTGAAGAGAAAATCCAGGAATCTCCGGCTCTGCCCTTCATTGGTGGATAAACGGTTAAATGGGTTCGTTTGCGCTAATTTCTGGTCAAAACTAAGTTCATTAAGATTCTAAATGTTATGTGCCTGTGGTTGGATGGCTGACAGGTGCTAAGTTCAAATATAAGTCGGATATCCACCACTATCTCCATATAGTGATGAGAACGTTACAATAAAAGCAAGACAACTGATAGCTTTTTATCCACTGGTAAGGGGCAAAGCCATTACTACTTAGATAATGATTTACCTCAGTCTTAGGGCTTGTGCCATTCAAGAATTAATTAGGGTACGACAATAGAGATCAAGCTGGACCATTAAACAAAAACAATGAAATAGTTACTTCAAATCTTTAGTATGTTTTACTTTGTTATCAGAATGTTAAGGGTTTAAAAAAGAAACACAGGTTGGTAAAAGAACGACAGTATATCTATGTCTTCATTTATTTATCTATCTGTTTATTGAGTTATTTCTTAATATATTTATTTATCTACTCATCTACAGGAGATATCACTTCACTTTTGTAGCGACTGGGACCAAGAGTATGTTTCCTGCGAGCCCCAAAGACTTTACTGGGATCTTCATTTCCAAAAAAATGGCGTTTGCCGGAGAACCCTCTCATTAAAATTAAATGACTGAGGCCTTATATAACGCTTAAAGAACAAAGAAAGAAAGGCAAAATAATAACCAACAATAATTAACATAATAATAATTAACAAAATGGCAATTGGGTGGTCGTTGAGTTTCAAAATAATTCAAATTATTCAAATATTGAATGATCCTTGTCCATGAACTGCAATAAAAGAGATGGTAGAAAAAGAAGCTTGAGGAAATTTGGTGCCACTTCTAACTGAACGCAATCTCCAACTGAGCCAAGAGGCCAAACGTTGGCGCAAGGCTAATTTTAGTGAGTATCTTGTTCCCGTAAAAGAAACTTCTCAAAGTTAAATACACTATATCATATTTTTACCAACAAGAGACGCAAACTATCTCTGCAGAAGTAAACTGGAGCATTTTGATGTGTAAACTGGGTAGACATGACGATCTTTTCGGGTAAATGCTGTAACTAAGTATCTTCACTGTTGTAGAGTCCATTAATTACCTGGTCCAGTGTTACCATACAACTCTACTCTTAAAGCAATCTGTTCACTCCATGTCTTAGGCTGCAATCTGAAGTAACGTGCTTTAACAGGTTGTACCAACCAATGACTGACGACAGTGTCACCATCATTATTCCCCTCAAACACCTTTAAAAGCAACATGAAAAATGAATCAACTGACCAAGACCAACTAACCAATTCAAGAGTTCAAATTAGGTGCAAATATGTGATTTAAATGGATGTTACAAGTAATTGTATGACCTCTCGCGCTACTTAGCCGGTATAGCTGGCGGTTTTGTGTGCGTTCGTTTTCACTGTTCTACCATTTGATGTTCAAAATGCTGTTGACCTAATATGACCAATGTTAAATGTGCTGGGCACGTAATTCTGATGAGTGTTCACCTGCGAGACACAGTGGTGGGTTAAAACGGATCACATACAAATGTTCCTGACCTTTACAGCATCATTTTCTTGATAATCCTGAAAGGTTTCTCCATCTTCACTACACAGCAGAATGAAGCTGGTAACGTACGTGCTCACACCATCACCACCACCTTGAGTGCTTACTTTAGTCACCTCTAAAACCTTCCCAAGATCCACCTGGAGCCACTGGTTTTCATCGCTTTCTAGTGGAACCCAGGCTCCCATCAGTTCACCTTCAGGCTTGGAGTTAAGGCGGGCTCTAGAAGCACTATGTTTATCATCAAGTTCAGATGACGATGTTATGGCTTCGCTGGAGATAAGTCCATTTTCAAGTCCTAATGGTTCACTGTATGAATCTTTATGATCGAATAGTTGAAACGCGAGATGATTAAGGAGTGTATCTTCACGCACTAAGTTTTGGGATTCCTCTTTATCATAGTGTTCACGAATAAAGCTTTTCTCAAGATGGAACTGCAAGTTCCAAACAATACGATAAAATTAAAAAGTCAATGCACTTGGAATATTTCATAATATATCTTAATGACTCAAAACCCCCTAAAATGATAAATATGAAACTTTTCAGAATAACTTATAAAAGACATGACTCCAACCGAGCCAATGTTGTTCATTGATCCTACTAATTCTATTACTACTCAGCGCCACAAACTATATCAACATGAATATTGTTACGCAGCATTCTTGATTTGGCGATCATACATGCCATCTGTTGGTTACATTCTAAGCTCTCGACTTATGTCCAGAAATGCACGCAGTCAAGAAAGTGGCAGATACGACGAACCTTGATCAAACCAAGTGAATGTTCATGGATATGACGATTTTGCCGAATGTAGTCAAATTCGTCAAAGCGAAATCATCTTTGCAGATTTGAAAATTTTGACCAATTTTCGCCATTTTCGTTATTGCGTGCATTTCTGGACATATCTCAAGCTCTGATGCGGATGCGTGTAGTGTGAAAAGTTGTAAGGGACGAATAAATTCCAAGTGCTGTACTTGAGCATTGATGAGCAAAGTTAACTGGTTATCATACCTGCATCACATCCATAGAGTTCAACTCTTAAAGCAATGTCTTCATTCCAAGTCTTTGGGTTAAGTCTTACAAACTGAGTTACTATAGGATTCCTGAGACTGTTGTATGCAATGCTGTCCTGGTCTGAATTGCTTTCAAACACCTACAGGAATTGGAAATGGTTGAAAGAAATTTTAGTACATACATTTCATTATTTACTCAACTTGAAATTATCGAGTTTCCGGACAACTATCATCCAAGAGCATCTGGTCTGTGGGACAATTACTCAAATGCTACTCCTCGATTGGACTAGTTGGTCACCTATGGGGGTACAGGTCGAAGCACTCACGATTATGCTTCGGTACTGCCCTAAACAATATAGCTGCGCGAATTACCCCACTGGATTGTTGTAACACTTGGTAAGATCTCTAAGACTTACACAATACAAGGGACCAAGAAAATTAATAGATTAATTCGGTAGTACACCAATAAATGATTCGGTCTTGGTGTCATGTGACATCATGCCACCTGTAGTAAAGGTGAGACACAGTCTTACTCTGACTTGTAATTAGTAGACTATCTCTTCTCATTTTCGCTTACTTCAAAGAGTAGTAATGTTCAGTTTGTTCTAACTTGTCAACGTTTTATAAATTAAAATTGTTTAGAGAGGGACTTTAAAACCAAATGTGTAAAGCTAACGGCACTGTTATTTGTCTACCCTGCAAACATTAAAACTGTTCATAATAAAAAGAACAAATCGAAACTTAACTCGTGTTCCTCAACATTTTGACCAGTTCATCTCATGATCGTTACTGGTGTGAGGCCTTACTGATTTTCTTAATAATCACAACAATAAACATCCTATCTAATTGGAAGGAATCAAGCAAAACCATTCTTATGTTTTTCCCCTATATGGACAACCTCTTTTGCAGGTATTTCCCTTACATTGATACAAAACCACTATCATTTTACACACAGCTGTTGCGCCATACCTTTTCGACGGTGTCCTCTGTATAAGGTATAAATTCTTCTCCCTGAAGGCTATAGGACACACAAAACTGCTTCACATGACGTGATGCAGACTCTCCAGCCTCTCCTTGCGTGGCAATCTTTACCAGCCTTGTCACTTTCCCAAGATTCACCTGGAGCCACTGATTTTCATCGCTTTGCGATGGAACCCAAGCTCCCACCAGTTCACCTTCAGGCTTGATGTTTAGGCGAGCTCTTGAAGGACTGTGTTTATCATCAAGTTCAGATGATGCGGTGATGGCTTCAGGAGGAATGCTTCCATTTTCCATTCCGAGGGGTTCACTGAATGTCTCTACAGTATTTTGAATTGTTAAAAAAAAGAATTATTGAATGTTTCAAAATGCACAACAACTATAAACAGCAACTCGGGAGAAGCAACAAAATATCCCCTTTAGTCATTAAATGCCCGGGGCGGGGGGGACTCCCATATGAAACAGACGAGGATGCTCGTCGGAAATTTTAAATTTAACCCTAAAGTAGACCATCTGGGCGTGGCTTAAGCAAATTTTGACCCCTAAAAGAGACTGCTCATGTTCATGCATTGTCTTTTTGGCACTTGGTAAAATAGAAAACTAGTTAATGTTGAGGTAATACGGTAAAGAAAACAAGTTAAAAAGAAAATTTTACTTCTGTTTCTCTTTGCGTAATTCTGTATTTCTTCGCGGAACCCTAAACGAGACCTTAGCGGCTTAAAATATTGGCACTTTGCCTGGAACACCCTAAGCGAGACCAAATCCAAAATTTACACCCCTAAACGAGACGACGAGCATCCCCGTCTGCTACATATGGGAGTCCCCCCCACCCCCCGGGATTAAATGTCTGTAACGAAAATTCTTCCCACTTTTCGAATTGAAACGATATCATAAAATATCCACCCTCCCTCATTTCTTACATTAATTCTCAGCTCTGTTTATTTCATTTACAAGGGAATTAGCCAGCAGGCAAAGCTCGGTGACCTCTCACATGATTGGTGGAACACACAATAAAAACAAAATTCCTTGAAATTTTTGGAAACCACATTGTGTGATACAATAAACGTTTCTAACGGAAACATTCTCTAACTGATTAAAATTTTTGTTAAAGCCCTTTAGACAACGATAAAGGGCTAACTTGAATGCAATTGTTTGACAACATGCAAACAAGTTATTCGTACGTCTTTGTTTCGAGGCGTAAGTGCAATGTACCATTTTCCACACCTCAACAAACGATCTTTTCTATTGGAGGCTGTGAAAATTTGTGCAGCAAAATGCTCACTTCAGAAAAAACAAACCTCAATTAGTATAGCTGATGTGAAATCTATTAGAAACTATAAAATAATTTATTCAGAAACTAATTTGCTTACAAAGACAGCACTTTTGAAACAGAAAGGCAAAATTTGTGATAATAATATTTGTCTGGTGAATTAAAAAGTAGCATTTTGCTGGCTTTACCAAGCCTCTGGTTTCTCACCAAATACAAAGACAACTTAAGGGAATCATTGATGATTTATCAAAAACCACATTAATTTTTTGTCCAAATTTGAGGTGATGTTTCGTGTAAGTCAAACTTGGAAAAGAGCCACCCATTAATCTTAAGACAGGTACAGAACAGAAGAATCTGAGTTTTAACTGCATATTCAACTGCATATTTAACTGGTATGCATATTTAACTGCATATTTAACTGGTATGCATATTTAACTGCATATTTAACTGGTATGCATATCAATTTGATAACCTGTTGTTGGATCAGGCTGTGTCTACGCAGCCTGAAAATCTGTTTGCCCTTTAGGAAGCACACAAACTTAGATGGTACGTATGATAAGTGGATTTTCAGAGAAGATGTCTACCCTCATGGATAGTGTCTAGAAAAATTGGTCAAGATATCTGAAAAGTACTATTATACCATCACTTAGCTGTAGATCTTGTTTTCTGGGTTCTTCCTGTGATGCACTTGAATCTTTCTCAGCTTCAGATTCCTCTTTTGGAACTATAATTATTTAGAGAATATACAAAATGATGAGTAAAATCTTCCTTGGGAAGGAAAAAATTAATAATATTTTTGTAATAAAAAGTGCAAGCATGATTTCAACACCATCTTAAACATAAAGGGTTTATGTTGAAATTTTATTTGCCATAAATATTAATTTGTTTCTTTGGATAACTAGCAGTTCAAGTCTGGCCTAAGCTGTAGCTTATGTGTACAATGAAACAACCACCACTGTGAATTTAAGCTACTTAGACAAACAATGAGCATCATTATCTTTGACTCTCTTTTTCTACAAATCATTTTTAAAATGTGTTGGGGTTTTGCCCATATTTTCACAAAAGTAAATCACCTACGAAAGTCATTCACAAGGGTTATTTGTTTGTGATTATCATGAAAATTTAATAGTGTGAAGACTCAAACCTGCAACAGTTCCATCAGGCAAAATTTTTACTTCTGGAAAGAACCCTTCAATGACTGCTTTTGCCTTCTCAACATTAGAGCTGCCATGCACAGCATTCTTCAGTGTGTCTACTCCAAACTGTGCACGGAGACTAAAAAACAAAATTGAAGAAAGAAGAAGAAGAGTCATTCCGGTTCCTACCACAAAAGGGTGAGACTCAAGTTCCTGGGACTGGTGACTTGATCACTCATCCACTGAATTTATCACTTGGCATTATGCTCTTAGATTATCAATGACTAAAAGATTTATATCACTTATTCAACATATCTGTACATGCAGTGCTCTCTAACTATTCTAAATCACAAGTCTTTCTTATACAGAAACTGTAAAAACTCACGAATCTGGGTCCACTTCTGAAGCTTGCTGTGGGTCAGTGGGTCCCATTAAAGCTCTCCAACCAGTGACTGCATCCTCTCTTGTCAGTACCATAAATAGTGTTGGACCACTGTAATGTCAAGGAGAAAATCTGAAGACTTACACTACATGTATTACTCTGTAATGCGAAAAAGAAAACTGTAAAGATTGACCCTCAGTTAGGTTTCATTAGAGAAGGGAACTTCTGAGCAAACACAAGCATATCAATGAAGTAAACTTTGACATGGAACCTGCTCCATACCTACAACATACCAGCCATGGTTATCATACATCAAAACTGCTTCTGAACTCCATTCCCAAATTTCCCAATTTTCTCATTTTTCATAGTGGTTATAAATTACTAACCTATAGTTTGAAACTTATTCCTTTAATATACACCTGTATATCTCAGAAACAAATGTTTTCCCTAATGGTTAGCGTGAAAATATCTATCACTTTTGGGTGAGAACATAACAGTATACAACTGGAAAAAAATTAGTTCACATGGTAGAAAGGCTCTCACAGAGTTGGAAGGTGGATAAAATATTAATTACTTCATTTTCATACCGAAACACATACCTGGCCATATGATCTGTAAGGCCTTCAAAGAATTCTTTTCCTTCATGCTCATGATAGAACTGTGATGCTAAGTCCTTAGTTAAGGTCACCTCTTTTTGAATCTGAATCTTAAAGCCGGCTTCTTTGATGCGGTGGATAATCTCCTCTGTGTAACAAAAAAAATTGTGCATTAGGGGCTGCAGAGAGGTAAAGTCAACTGGCCACAAAGCACTGGTGTCCCAAGCTCATGTCTCAAAAAAAGAAAATTATTAATTTCATGAAAGCATCGTGCATGCATTGTGTGACCTGGTGTTAAGTTATACAAGGAAACACAGAGAATTTGAAAGCATAATGGTGTGGGGAATGAAATATAATATGCATATTCCAAAATATGAACATTTTACATCTAAGATTAGTAAACCTTACTCCTTGTGTGTCCATTGTGGTTTCTAGCGATTTCACAGTTATTCCTGTTAAAAGATGGAGTCAAGGTATGTTGCACACTGCGGTTTTTGCTTTTGTCAATGCTGAGGGAGTTTGCACCCATTAGTAATTTTTTCACCCTAAGTTTTTGATGGACACAGTTGTGGAAGAGGCTTGGTTTCAAGGTCAATTTTCTCTCTACTGAGGGTGGTACAGTCAATCTATGTACTAAACTTACTTTGATAAAAGAATGCAAAATTGACCATACCACCCCTAGTAAAGAGAAAATTGAACTTGGACCAAAGCCTCTTCCGCAGACCAGCATTTCCAAGTTCGCTTCTTTGAGTCTAATGCTTTTGATGCAAAGACTAAACATGGGCATGTCAAGGAGGGAGTTTTGGAATTGAGAAATTTTCCAGGGTGCACTGATCTTTGATTGTAAACAAAGAAGGATTTTCTGATTGTGAACCACCTCCATGTGGACAACAGTCAAAATCATGGTGAGCAGGTTATAATTGACTCCACCTTATAACAGGAATAACAGAAATGGAAGAGCAAGCTCAAAACGGCAGAAATTGCCAGAAACCTTAACAGACACACAAGGAGTGAGTAAGTTTTATTAATCCTATGTTAATTATGGTGAAATGCTTGTATTTCAATATTTAGTGTTGTAAATCAACCCTACATGCATGGAGGGTACTAGCCTATATATGTGTATAGCTGACCAGGGCATTTATTGACCCACATTCAAAACTTTCCTTAGGGTCCTCCACACCCATTTGGTATATTACAAAGGTATAACACCAATCAACATGAATAACACTGTGTTGTAACAAGTAAAGTAAAACTTGGAAGTAAACTTGGCATTCAAACAGGAAGCATAGCTCATAAATTCCTTCCACTGCAAATTGATGTAAATTGTTTTACTGATTCCTCAAAACCCACTCTTCTTAAACACTTAAACAAGTAATGGCACGCTAAAAAGGACTTATACTGATCATAAGAACATCAACAAAACCAACAAACTGAACAGACTACTTTTAAAACAAATGATAACAGACCAATTTCAAGTGACATAAATAATGACTTGAAAACATCAAATAAGAAAGTAAAACAGACAGGTCAGTTTCAAAAGCTGTATCTAGTCAAATGTTTTTGTCTAACACATTTGAATGATAACCAAATCTTCATTTGACTCTAACAGTGACTTCCACTATATGTTTTCGAAACATTATTTAGTTAATTTCATCAACATCACAACAGGAATTCTGTATGATATTGTACAGTATACTCTCATTCAGGTAATAACTTGGTCACACAATCAAAATGAAGCTACATACATCTTCAATTAGCCAAATTAATATTGACAAAAGGTTGATGAAAAATGTTTCACAAAATCTTCCAGAGCCCAAGGGTCAAGGAAGCCATCCATCTCCAGTTTCCAATGATTTGCTTTTGTTCTCACTCGTTTGCATTAATTGTTAACTAGACATACCTCGCTTGTCTGGTTCTAATTCAGGTTTAATGACTGCCACAGTGGATTGAACAGGGAAGAGTTGTTGGATTTCTTTCTCAGCAGCCTCCAGAGAGTCAGAGCCATGCAAGGGGTTGATAGGACTGTCCTCTACATGGAACTGATGTCTCAAGCTGTGAAATTCCATTTAACATTAACTTCATATAACATCCAACTAAATGAAGACACACATGTGTAGAGAAAATTCTAATCAATTTTTAACTCTCACATTTATTAACTGACACTAAATTCTACAATTCAGAAGCCTCAGATGTGATATTTTCATGGTAGCAATGACTCTACTGAAATTTATAATTTATAATTATCAGCAATTCCAAAAAGAGAAAAAAAATTATTCAATCACAAGACTTACATGCATGGCACAGTGTACTTTTGTTCACAAAACACTTTTGTAAACAACTGGTTACAACAATATTTAAGGTGGTTACAGTTACTTGCAACAAGATCCTACCCAAATGTGATATGTAACAATTTTTTAAACAAAGTTTTGGTGTTTAGGAAAAGCAGTTACTAATCATAAGATGATTGACCATATTACATAACAACAGAAACAAAAAGGTACATGTGACTACATTTAATTTTTTCTTCTTAGCTCCACACAAAGGTACTAGAAGTACTGGTAATTGCATTCATATTTTGTTTCATAAACTATATATTTAAGGAGTAGATTTAAAATGTATGTGATATATGGATAATAAATAATTTAAAAACTTTTTGGCTATAGGTTCGTGATCAAGCTCAGTAGCAATGTAAAGTCGTGTAATGTACACAAACCTGTCTGGAGCATTTTCAGCGGCTACAGATATCTCTTTTGGTCCCAACATTTCTCTCCAGCCTTCCACAGCATCCTCCCTGGCCAGACATAAAGCCATCATTGGACCACTGCAAACCAGATAGCAGAGGAAAACCAGTAAATAAAATTAATCAAAAATTTAATCTACAAGAGACAATTCTTAACGACCTTTTTGGGCATTATACTTAACAAATGAATGTAAACTACAATTATGTATGTCATGTTAAGAAAATTAAAAAAAGATGATGAGAGCTGAGTAACTTTAAAAGGAAAAGTCTAATGTTCAATAAAAAAAACTTAACAGGCCTTACTTTTTACATAAAGTGATACCTAATTAAGTGTGTTATTCTTATTGCTTAACAAAAACAAAAAAAGTTCCATTTTTTTACATACTCGTTTTCCAGAAAACTGAGAATCAAAGAAATGACTTTTAGAAACTTTTCCTACTTCCAGATAGGAATTGGACTTAATGCACCCTGGTAATTTCGTGATTGATAAAATACATCTTTTGCACACTGATAGTTAACGCTGAGTGCACATGTATAAAAAAAATTATTGAGAAGTTTGCTATTTCAAGGTGACTGGTTGCATACTTTCTGAAAGGTTAGTAAGGTATTTATAAGTTCAAGTTTTTAAAGTTCAAGCTTTCCAAAATGCAAAATAATATATGTTCACCAATTGAATGTTTTAATCATTTTGTCACTGACAGAAAACATACATACTGCTGTATAAAGAGCAAACATTCTGTCGGCTCAATGTGCTTATAAAGACTTCTTAAATAAGCCTTTGTCACAAAGTCAGCTCATAGGTGACATGTACCAGTACTCAATCAACCTCTTCACCTGAAGAAGACTAGCAGTAGGCAGTCACAACCTCGCAACCCACATCTGAAGTGACCACATCGTGAGACAAATGATTATAGACTGTTCTCTCTTGAAGGCATTCTCAAGTTCAAAAAGGAACTCAGTTTAACAACACTGATCCAGTCATTTATCACTTAACCAAACTTCATTAAATCATTTGATAACCTGGGATAAGTTAGCCAATAAGAATGCTAGAAATGGAATATTCCACAGGTTGGGAATGAAAGCAACCTTTGATGAATGATAAGCATTAAGTGAGAATTAAGCTTAAGAGTAAGGCATTAGTGATTAAGACTTACTGAGAGTAACATACCTGGTCATGTTATCAACTAGAGACTCAAAGAAATCAGAATCTTTATGGTCTGCATAAAAGGCTTCTGCTTGATCTCTTGACAGTGTTATTTCCTTTGACATGGCAATAGTAAATCCTGACTCTTCAATCTTTCTAATAATGGAATCTGAAATGAATTTATCTTTTCATTACTTTTCAAGAGAACATTAAAAAAGTCCATGCAACCAATTGGTCTTCAAACCACTCTTCTCAGCTGAGAATAACTAATAAGGCTAGGGATAGATAATCTTAGCAAATCAATAGCTTCTGGTAATTAAGCTATGAACAACATAGTGCATTTGGTCTCTTTTTCTGCTTATTTGATAAGCATAATTTTATAGAAAATGTGTAATCTTACTGCAGAGTATACAAGAAAAAAATGTGCTGCAAAAGAGGTGCATGTGCTCCAGAAACCATCAATTGAAACCTTTTTTCGCTGCCATTGCTGCAATGTCAATTTTAGACTTAATGTAACATAATGAACGCAGTCAATTCAGTTTCCGAGCAGATATGCGTTAACAGGTCATAGAGCCTACATGTAAAACAATGGAAAGCAACATTTTCAGGGCTCTATATATAAGTGAGTTAAAGCCACCTGGGATGTTGGGAGATCACTGCAAAAGCTTACAAATCACGAGTCTTCCAAACTTCTTGCGTGACTTTATCATGTTCTAGAGCCCAAAAATATGTGTTCCTTTGCTTATTAAATAAGTACTCAGCACCTCTTGAGATTCTGGAGTAACTGTCACGTTTACGGATGCAAACTCTAATCTTTTTTATATATGTAACTCTCCCGTTTTTAGCACAAAGACACTAAGAAACTTTCAATGACTTTCTATTAAATTTGTTAGCACTTTGTTTGATTTCTATTCCGTGACTAGCAAATGTCTGCTCGAAGCTAGCTACACAAAGAACTGTTCATTTCTATTTCCCCTACGTCAAAGTGTAAGATCTAAATTCGCCTTCTATTAGCAAGTAGTTCAGTTGCAAAGAGTCATTGTAGTGAAACCATTACGGAGCCGACCAGAGTTTGGGAGTTCTCTACCCCGGAGTCAAGATCCGATGTAAGTTACGCTTGTAATATTCCTCATATTTATCATTTCTAGTTTTATAGTCTTTCGGTTTTCCTTATATCAAACCTTCATGTATCCGTTCTATAGTTTTTACCGCCTGTGCTGTACAAAGACTGCCAGCTTAAGTGAATAAAGAGTTTGATGCTGCTACTTATCTAAAGTTCAACACTGTGGTTATACTGGTGAACTCGGGTGCACAACACCACTTGTCTGCGGCATCGGGAACGCGACAGTAACCTTTACTTTGAACACAACTCAGAAGCCTGGCAGCATATATATGAAATGGTAAATACCACAACTGATGCAGTTCACAGCTGATGATCTTTAATTGACTTAATTTTTTGAGTCAGGAGGAGTGCATGAAGTTTGTCACATCACAGGTGGGCTGCCAGGTTGCTGCATGAGCAATAATCAAAATGGTGGCAGTTATGGAAAAATTTTACAGTGTAAGTACATTTGAAGACAGTTTACAATGGAAAAGTTTCACTGCAAGGGGTGCAACTTGAACTTTTTGAATGCAGAAGTGAGTTTTAAGTATAAATATGTTCAACTTGGGAAGTTGTCAAAAGAAATAAATTAAATTTGAAGCCCTAGTATTAGTTCTCTTTACCTTTACGGGTGCGAAGAGCATCAGGCCTGATAAGAGCAAGAGTCCTTTGCAACCTCTTCTTCTTTCTCTTTTGTGTAACAGTAGGAGCCACAAAATCAGGATAGAAAAATGCAAGCTCCCTGAAATTAAAGAACTGGATAAAATTTCAAGAAAACATAATTTTCTGTAAAATGACGTGTGTTGAAGTTTTTTTAACTTTAAATTTTTAAAAACAACAAAAAAGCCTTGATCAGCTCTCAGTAACAATCAAAGTCCTGTCACACTAATTATCATTATGGGTCATGTATATTATAGAAAATTCTCATATGCATAAATAAAGCATGTGCCTAGCAGACCTGACATAGATATGTTTCCACAAAAACAACCGTGTAATTGGGCCAGTTAAATACTATGTTTTACATATAAATGTCTCATATTGCTAGTTATAACCCAGAGGTCCAACTGATAGATAAAAGTATAGAGTAATTTTGCTTAATTGTTCTCTTTTTACAAATATTGCCATTATTTTGGTGGTGTTCTGTGTTCTGTACGTATTATCAAATAGTTAAATGCATTTTTTGAGTAAGCTTTTGAGTAAGCCTTTGAATAAACTGTATAATATTTAAATTGCATTTTTTTTACCCACCTGGCACACTGTTGATAATGGAGAGTATTGATTTAGTTTTGAATAATTGAGCAGTACTAGATGTTAATTAATATCAATACACCTGTAGAGATGTGTGCATATAACTAGGCTCACCTGGCTGCACTTTCAGCAGAATCACAGCCATGTAATGCATTCATCACAGTATCTGTACCATAGAGAGCTCGCAGGCTGCAGTAACAATTAACTGAATGTCAGGCCACATGCAATATATTTTAAGACCCCAAACAATGAAAGAGCTTTGTATTATTTTACAAAGTTTTTTAAACTGCATTTAAGACCAATAACAACCCAAGCCACAGGAGATCTCCATAACCCATATTCACTTAAAATGTTGCGAACCCTTTACAGCCTAATTAACACCAGTATGCAAGTTCTTGTTACACACATATATACACACATAATAACCTTTATTTCTGTGTCTAGTCCTTCTAGTGCAAAGGCACTTAGTCTAATATATTGTTCTCTATACATTTCCTAAGTTCCTGATAAGGAGAAAAAGTTACCAAATGAATGCAATTGGTTGGCTGCAATTAATTCTGCTCACACACCTTGCAAGAAATAAACTTGTGAACACGTGAAGTGAGATCGATTTTAATTTATTTTCCCTTTTATATAATTACATGACATATTTTTCATAAACTTCACGCTTGAAATGGGATCAGCCCCCCTCCCCCCCCATTTGTTACCCTCTATAAATAATGTTACCTAGTTGGTGCCTCCTCCTTAGCAATGTTCACATCCTTTGGACCAATAAGATCACGGAAATATTCAATTGTACCATCACCAACATCAGAGTCACCACCTTTGCTTAACAACAGAGTCATACATGGGCCACTAGAAAAAACAATCAAAGGAAAATGTAAAGCAAATTATGGGGGTATTAATTCCTCACAAAATGGACAGGCCAGATGGTAATAGAAAAAAGTGATTTGGGAATTGAAGGAAACTGAATCCCTTTCGACCTATCTGAATGTTTTGTGTGCCTGTAAATGCATATACACTAAAATAATTTTTGTCTTGTTAAGATTATAATTATAACAATCAACAACATTTTAAACCTTTGACTGCTACTGTTGCTTCTGTTGAACTTAAATATTTCAGCTCTTGTGTTCACAATACCTAGTCATAAATTCAACTAGCTGATCAAAATGTTCAGATCCTTCATGTTGCTTGTAAAATTCTGCAGCCTCTTCTTTCGACAAAGTTTTCTCTTCTTTCTTGAGAACCTCCATACCAGACTCTTCAACCTGTACAAGGAAAACAATGGTTGAGCTTTAAAATGAGCCTTTCAATTACAAGTTTGGATCTAAAGTCAGAGTTTGTAATATTGCACTTAATAACCAGACCTGCTCTTAAAATACATAAAATTAACAACTTCCCTGATTATGTCTCAAATGTTCATGAACTACACAGAGCTTTGAAGCTGATTTGTTTGCAAAAAGTGAGAGTTTCAACCGCATAGCTGTTAATGCCACAAGCATCATCTTCCTGGGGGATTAGGGCAAGAGGGTATGGGAAATGAAAGAAATGAAGAAGGTAAGACATGCATTTATGTATTTTTTAATTCTGAGTGTATATAGAGCAAGTCTATTTTACTTGTCTGCAGTCAGCATGTGACCCTGAGTAACCATAGTCATTAAACCCAATGACCAAGATCATATATCAGTAGTATAGCTATAGGGACTCCCTTAGTATAGGCCAATAGGGATACGCCACTGAATGGGGTCAAATTTTCAAGACTGGATTAACTATTAATACTGGGGTTGCATTTTCAACAGAGCTACTACGTGAAGAATAGGATCACACACTTTCAAGATTTTGGGGGTAAGAAAATTCTTGCAAGAAAAGGGTTTTAAAAATGGAAGAGTGCATGAGGTTAAAAGTTGTTACCAACAGTTAACTGACTGCATTACCACAATTGACTAAGATGGGGTTTATAGCTAGTTAGCCAAAGAATAAATTACATTGAAGTAGTAGTTCTAAGGGGCCTTGGGAAAATACCTGGTATTAGAATCTGCATCACAAAAAAAATTTACTGGCAGAACATGGTAATAATTACCTTCTGAATAATCTCATCAACAAGTCCAGCTTTAACAGCATCAGGTTTAATGATGGCCACAGTAACTTGTTTGGGAAGTTCCACTTCAGAAATAAACAAAGTGATTGAGTGAGGGTGACTGCAGACCCTTGATAAAACTCATAATTTCAATTATTGTAAAGAGTAATTTAAAGTCTAATAATATACATGAAAAAAATTCTCAGTTCTGATTGGTTATTAAAATAAGATAAATGCAGTTTTCAGGTAATTAAGTGCAGAAGAGAGTTAATTCAGTGCAAAGAGAGTAACAAACCAGACATTCTGATTCAGGTCAGAATGATTGGTCAATGTCAAGGTCAATGTCAAGGTCAATGTCAAGGTCAATGTCACTTGCAGGGTTTGAATCAATTATTTTTGCCCGTGATGCATGCGCTTTTCTTCTGCATAATTATGATAAGCTACCTCGTATTTTTTCATGTATATTATTAATACATAATCACATCATTTTCCTTGTACAATTTGGAATAAATAAGCACTTGTAAATTTTTTCAAAGACCATACAATTGCACTTGCCCTACGGGCTCATGCAATTTTGTTAGTCTTTGAAAAAATTTACCCGGTACTCATGCTTATTTATTCCAAATTGCACTCGAAATCATGTGTTTACCTAAAGTATACAAATAGCTACTTTGATATAATATTTCATACTGTATGCATTACATCTTTACACCAAGAAAATTCAAATCTATTTTATAGTGGACACTATGTGAGAGTGAATACTATGTCTTTAATTCTCTCAAACCTAAACCTGACTGATTATCAGCAAGCTGATCTGAACTCTAATAGGACATAACAGAATAACAGTATGAGCCTCTGTTATCCTGGTTCTTTAAAAATAAACTACACTATCAGCTGGCTGGCTACCTTTTTGTTCCTCTAGTACTTTCTTCTCTACCTTTCTGCTCATACTTCTGGTCATCTTCTCAGCTTTGACAGGTCAAACAGTATTTGATTAGTTTCCATATGATAGAAATTAAATGGAAGTAGATATATCCTTCCCTTGTATCTACCAATAGTGTTAACATTGAAAGGTATCACTGCGACTAAGTGTTAGTAGTTTGACCACAACATAATGGATAATTCTGCATTAAACAATCTGGCATGTCAAATTTGAGATGACAATTAACTAAGAAAAGCAATGATAGCTGCAGGTATGTGGAAGTTTGTTGCACAGTACTTGATATTTTGGATTGTCCCACCGCCCTTAAATCAGTCACAATATGTGCCATAGTCATTGAATTTATTGGCCCACTCAGCTCTGCTCTTATTTTTGGTCACACTTTAAAGTGAAAACATCATTATGGGTAATATTCTCTCCTTTTTCCTGAATGCTAATAGTTGGAGTTTGTTCAAATCACATTCATTTGATTACCGCAGTGAGTCAAGTAAAATTACCATGAATAAACATTTAAACACTTATTTCTGAGTCCTCTTTTTAAATTAAGGGAAAAAGCCCATAATTGTGTGCTCCAACCTATTTCAAGTGTAGTCAGGGCCACAAGGAATACCCTGTTAGTCAATCTGCATACAGGGTAAATAAACTGTGAATATCGACATACCGGTACATGTACTTTGCAGCAATCTTCAACTTTGAAATTCTGAATTTAATGGTAATTAAGTTCCACTGATCCCACCCTTACAGAAGCTCACCTATTTCTTCTTCCTCATCCTCAATCTCCTTTTCTTCATCTTTTTTCTCCTCAAAAACTGTTTCTTTAAAGGCTTCTTGATCAACAAACTTTAACAAAAAACAGCTAATTGTTTGAACCCCACAGTAGTATTTCATTGTGTAGCCGGGTGAGACTGTCATCCTGGTAAGGACTATTAAATGTTCGTAGTGAACTGACATTTTGACATTTTCATGTCATTTTCATTTTCATGATGACTTCTGCTGAGGTTGTCAAAATATCAGTTACAGCTACATTTGTACCCACATCAATCCTTCCCAGGATTACTCTTGATCATCGCTTTCAATTTCAACTACTTATTATCTCATTACTTTAACAAAATAATGATCTGTTGCAAATTGCATAATAATCAAAATTTGAAACTACATGTTTAATTAGTTTAAAACTAGGTGATGTAATTTAAAACAAACAGCACTGTTTGTTTTAAATTACATCAACTAGTTTAATGAACATTGTTCCAGTTAAAACTAAGATTATGTAAAAAAATTTTCAGAAGAGAAATTGAGTGACTTTGAGTTAGTATTTAAGTTAGCAAGGGTTCATGTCAAAATAAGAGGATGGAAATTCAGGAGAAATTGGATTGCAATACCAGTTATTAGCCTGAATTTCAAGATCAAAATTATAGTAAGCTGTGGTTTGAATTATCATGAGTTGAGTGCACCAAGAAATGGTGTAAGTACTGCATAATGCAGCAGCTAGCTTTTAGTTACATGTTACACCCTGTTACATGTTGCAGCTGTACAGTATGTACCAGTTTCATGTTACAGCGAGCAGCTGTACAGTAGTTACTTGTACTTTTCATACATCCATATATCCTGAGGGAAATGAATTTTGACATCACTACAAATGGAAACTTGGAAAAAAAAACATGTACATGCCATTTAATAGCTGACTATTCCTTATTTTGGGAGGAACATCTATTACTTACTGGAACTCTATCACATTTTCCATCAATAACTTTGTGTTCTTGGTCAAGTTCATCTCGTATGGTTTTAATCAAGGCAGGGCAATTACATCCTCTCACAACATTTACCAGAAGGCCACCCTGAAAGACAAGAGATGCATGTCTTGACTGCATTGAAATCAAATTGATGCCATAAGGTCGGCACACAGTCAACCACGGTGCAATGTGTAGTAGCTGGAAACTGTTAGATTACTTTTACTTACAGCATAGAACAGGAACGTTGGTTGACTTTTCATTCTGTAAGCCTCCAAAGAATTGATGGAATCTGTCTCAGCCTTTTGAAAGCAATTAGTACAGCATATAAGTAGTCAATAAGAAATACTCATGACAAATTACCGGTATATCGAATACCAGTAGCTATGATGTAATGAGATGACAAGTTTATACATTGATATATGAGTACTTAAGATTATTGTTGCTGAAATGCTTGATTTCCAGCATTTTTATGATTGAAAAAAAAAATTGCATGCCCCCACTAAAAAGGAATTTTTGGTTTGAAAATCGACCTCCCTGTCACACTCAATCCCATAATCCTTTAACTCCCAAGATCTGATTGTTCATTCTCTCCTCTAGCTACTACACATTTTTTTGTAAATTAGCTTTGAGAATTTGATGTTAGATCAGGATAAAACTTTTACCTGATCAGTTTGAGTAATCTCATTACCTGTTTGCAGGATAGTATATAGAAATATTATAGGGAGAAGGTTCATGTCAATCACTTCTGCAAGTTAATTATAATATATAATTATAATATTTTAACCCACTACCAATCTTTATGAGAAAGAATAAAGCATTGCTGTGTCTTCATCTCAACCCACCCCACAAGCAAGAAAGAAACTAAGAGTAAAAATAAACTCAACATGTTTCCGGTGGTTACAAGTTAAAGAACTTGGAGCCTGCTACTGTGTACTGTGGGAAACATGTGGTGGTGTTTTTTACATGATTATGATTCTGCTAGACAATATTCCAGACCTAATTTATAACAATAATAATAATAATGATCGTTAGTAATAAATGATAATGATCATAAAAAACATTAATACTGATTAGATAATTTAGTAAAAAAGATAATCATAATAATGACAACTTACAGTTGCAAATACGAGCAGGTCATCTCCCAATTCATTCTTAAGTCTCTTGAAGGAACTAACAATTGCTTTACATGGACCACACCAAGCTGAATAGGTATCTGCAACTGAAAATTAATATGTAAAATAAAAATACATCTCACAAACTTTGAGCTAGCACCACAACACTACAAGAAATAATGTCCAATGACTCATTTACATACCACATAACATTAAAACTATCTGGAAAATTGGTTTTTAAAATTTCCTTTCCTTTACTACTGACAGTTTATAGTGGTTTCATGATATTTGTTACTTTCATTCATTCATTCCTTCATTTTTTTTTTGCTTCTCACTCTGTGACAGTCTGAGACACATACAATTCTTATCAAACTCAGGTTCGAAAAGATCAAACCCAAGGAAAAATTTGGATCATCAAATATTTACACACTCAAAGTTACACTTCACCTATCAGGCCTTCCTTTGATAACAGTTCATCCCACTGCTCCTGGGTTTTAATTTCAACCTTTAAATAAGAAAGACAAACTCCATCTGTAAACTCCATTATTAGCAGCTAGCACATTTTAAAGTGCTAAATACTACAGCTGTGTTCATTTATTAATATATAATTAGTGATTACCAGGATTGCTGTAATTTGAAAGAAACATTGCATAAAAAATATTAATAATAATAATTATGGAGTACTTAGTTTAAATTATAAGTTATTAATAATTCCATAACTGTTAAAAAAGCTCTGCTATTATTCTTGCAAGACTTGACTTTCTTTGTGATTATAAATTACATTCAAATATGGAGAGATCCATCATTTTAGTTAATCATTGTTACTTAGCCAGAGGTTTGCATTTTAGTAGATATTAGCATCAAAAGCTATTTCAAATTTTTAATATATCAGATGACATAGAGACCCACTGTTAAAACAAAACCATCAAACTCAAAAAATTTTTTACAACCGGTTCTTCAGACCTATGGGGGGGGGGGAGTGAGGGTTGTGTATGTGCACCTCCCAGCTTTTCTTCTTTTGGCAATTTTCTTTTTACCCAAAATAGGGGGGTCCCAGGCCACCTGGGCCCCTCTGCTAGATCTGCCACTGTTCTTGTATAATTGCCAATTGCAATAGTTCTTATCTGATGTGCAGCAAGCTCATCTAAAATAAAATTACCACCAAACACCATCAAACCCTACTGACACATCCTATATTCAGCTTGTGATGTACAAGTACTGGCAAAATATATTGCTCTCTCCTTTCAGTTCAATTGGTCAAAATAAGTTTACCATTATGTCTAATTTCTGAAATCTCTCAGCTAGAACAATAGTTATTGTAGGTTAACAACTTGGTTATAAAGTTAAGGCCATACTCCAAAATACAAAATTGTCACTTTGTTTTCTTTTTCAATTCAAGGATATAGATCTAAAGAGAATCTTAAATCTATATTGTTGCAGTGTGCTACAGTCATTTACGCCTTGACCTGTACTTGGCTGTGCTGCCCTGACCATAACCCTGCCCTTACACCTTAATCTTACATGTAAGATTATATATTTGACATTGTAATTGGATATTTCATTGCCCTCATTTTTTTGTACTAAAAGGATAAAATGCACACCATAAATAAAGAGGCATCGCCAAAGCTGGTTGCCAGTTGCAAATCTTAACTCCCACATGATGTAAATATTAACAGATTATAAAACTGAAATTGAAATTTGGCCTCAGTTCATGGGCAATAATTTAGTCTGGAATTGCAAGATCAAGGGTTGTACATCAGTGTTTACATTATGAACAGCCACATCCCACTAATGGATCTCAAGAGTTCATCTGTCTCCCAAATTATTGCCAGGAAGATGGGGTAGTGAGAATTTGCCAACAAAATCACACAGCTAATGGGGGGTTAGGGGGTAGTTAATTGCCCCAAAAACCCTCAGCCATCCAAATTAGTGAAAGTGACTTTAGAAAATAATAAATAATTCTTAAATGCTCAGCTCTCTTCAACAGATGATTATGACCACTGAGAAAACCAAAAAGAAATTTTTTCAGCCTGAATTTAGGAATGGAATAGCGAAATATGTCAAAGGCACGATTCAAACGCCATTATTATTAATGTAAGCTATTATATAAGATTGGAGTGTTTGAGCCTTTAATTGGTCTGCTTGCACGATCGATGTACGGTATCAGTTTTGATGATGGCCAAAACTTGTGGCTATTCCCGAGAGAAAAGGTCAGTATTGTAATGATGGTTTTATAGTTCTAAGTTCAGAGCCACATATTGTGACTAAATCGTAGAAAAAATATGGTGCAATTAACAAAACGAAATAACAACTCGTAAACAGCAACGAATCAGCTTGGCGCTCGAGGGTGTTATGATTTGATGCAAAGAAGCGACATAAAGACAGGTACAAAAATAACGGTTCCGTTTCTCTAGCGAGACAATTGCGAAAAAATACGACATGTTTGCCACAATTCAGTTCATAAAGGGTCAAACGCCTTGCCTGCAAAGGTTTGAGAGCGTCCGGATTCTTCTTGATGTACGCCATATTGAATTCAAACAAAATGGTCTCCAAGATACATTCCTAATTTTATTCATATCTAACCCCATATGGTTAATGTTTATCGAACTGTTTATCACTTCACGGCAGGAAAAATAGGTAATAAATATTTCAAACGTAGTTGAGTAAAACTTTGAATTTGAATTTTAAGCTGGTAAATCAGTGTTAGTAAGCTCGATTGTTGCTTCAAAGCGGAACTTGATTTTTCCTCAGCTATTTAATACTGTATATTCTAGTTACCTTGACGAGAAAGGAATGACATTAAACAACTCTACTGAATAGAAAATTATATTTGCAAAGGTTACACGTTATATAATGAGATCAATATTCTGATTACTGTATTGAAGTTTTCTATAAGCATCAACGTTAAGCTGCAACGAGCGCAAATTAAACGTATCAACTTCAAGTCCATACTCTGAGCCAGAGAGCTCAGAATTTAGAAAAGAAACTGCTAGCTGCAAATAGAGCTGAATATTTTATCTGCGCTGCTCCCTTACTAATGACGTTCGTGCATGTTGAGATGAAGATTTCGTTATGATGTTTACTTTTCACTTCTCACCTCAGAGCTCCGATCTTGTTTTCAAAAGCTAGTCCCAATATTGATACAATGACAGGAGTATTTTTTGTTCACCTTGTTAAGTGCACGAAGTTTATAAAGATAACCAATAGAAAAATTTCCGAAAATAAGCTCAAATTTTATGTCCTCCACTGCAGTGTAAGCTCAGGCATGTTACAGGACTCCAGTTCAGAAAATAATTATCAAACTTTGCTTTTAGCGTGCGTGAAATGCTTCAATTAGTTGACTTACACTTGATTCTCACTGCACAAACCTGAAGCTCGACCTTTCCTTTGGATTTCGCCATCCCCTTTAAAACTTTGGTTACTTGTAGTGGAACAAAGTAATTGGCTGGAAAATACTTAGTACACTGGCCGGTCGGCCGTTGGATGAAGTTTTCAATAGAGAGGGCTCAGGTTACCATGGAAACTTTCCAGAGGAGTGACAATTGGACCCAAGCTACCCCTCCCCTGGTAGCCGCCTCTCCAAAACATCTATTATCAGAAAATTCGAAGAGCCTGTGCATGTCTGAAAGGTTTAAATACAAACATGCATCTATCGCACAATTCCTCGCAAGTAATGCCAACACTTTGGTCTGATCATTTAAACAGAGTACAGCCACTGTTTAACAAAATTGCGCTGCGAACCCCATACTGCGCATAAAAACACGTAATCAGGCGGATAAGCGCGTGCGGTAACGAGGCATGATGGTTGTTAGCTCTTGAACGAGTGCGGTGACCTGTATTTTTTATTGCACAATTTTTGTGAACAAATAATCCCCTATAAATTGGAGAGATTAAAAAAATTCATCGAAGGGAAAGAAGATATAGCTAAAAGCCCTCACGAATTCCGTCATTCGAGGAGGCAAATTGTGACAAATTGTGGCAAATTGAAAGCAACGACTCGAGGCACGTTTTGAGTCGATGTCGATGACGCTGCGCACCCCGTACTGCGCATAAAAACACGTAATCAGGCGGATAAGCGCGTGCGGTAAAAAGGCATGATGGTTTTTAGCTCTTGAACGAGCACGGTGACCTGTATTTTTAATTGCACAATTTTTGTGAACAAATAATCCCCTATAAATTGGAGAGATTAAGATAAACCATCGAAGGGAAAAAAGATATTGCTAAAAGCCCGCACGGATTTCGTCACTCAAGGAGGCAAATTGCGGCAAATTGAAAGCAACGACTCGAGGCACGTTTTGAGTCGATGTCCTTAAAAGTTGCGTAATTTTTCCACAAAATATATGTAAAATTGTTCAATACGTTCGAGACTTTCTACCTATCAAGTATTTCTCAAGTGTTACTGTAAAAAGCCTGGCTTCTAGCTACCGCAAAGTGTACTGTGAACCGATGGGATGAGGCGCGCGATTATAGCGCCAGTACAGGCATGAATGGGTCATATCTCTTAAACAAGCACGGTAACCTATCTTTTATTTTTCGAAACAGACGTTGGTAAAGGACATTTAAGGAAATTTAAAAAAAAAAATTCGGTAACATTGAGTCACCTTAAACAATTCTCAATTTAGCTAAACCTTTTATCTGATCATGTATTTTTGCGAACAGCGCCAAGAGGGCCGAAAGGTAGCAGTGAGAGGACATTTGTTTGATTAAATCAACCCTTTTATGTAGAAAGCCTAAGCCCCCCTGATTTCGTAAAACCGTGGTTTAGATTAGACCTCGTGTATTTAGGATCAGTCGCTGATTTTGGACAATCGCCAAGTCACCAAGTACCTACAGTACAGTGTTTAGTTTGAACGAATCATTCGAAAAGACATTGCCGCGACAACGGGAAACATAGGCATGCCAGACATGCAAGAGTTATTTTTGTGCGGGAATTATCCACACGTAAGCAGAATCTCGGATATTTGTTTGTCTGTTTCTCAGTTTGGTGGTGGTCATCGGTGACGTGGTCTCAAAACAAGACTTACTACAAAAATGCGGAGGAGAAAGAAATTGGCCATCACTTTGCTCGCTTTACCAAGAGCACAGTACATCCACCACATATCTAAATTGACACAGCCCGTCAGGTACCTGAACGTCGAAGCTTAACAAATTCAGTCACCATTACTAACAACAGTCTTTCTCGGGACTATTCTCACACGGACGATCAGATAACGCGATCAAATAATGGATGACCCTAAATTTTAATTCTACAGATTAGAGCACAGTATTGTAACAAATGCAACAAGTAAACTAGTCTAAACGTCTTACACGGGTATCTGAAATCCAGTCATCCCATAAGCAATACAATTAGAAAAGGAACCCTTTTGCGAAATCATGTAGGATTTGCTCCATGCAAGCTAATTTTGGGTTCACTCGTGTACCGTAATTACTAAAACAAGGAATGACCTAAAACTACCTACAACCACCTAAAACCACCTACAAGGTGGAAAATGAGGAGTGTCGAAAGTGTGGAAAGTGTGGAGTGCGGAGTGTGGAAAATGCGGAGTGTGGAAAAATTTATAATTTAATAAGAGAACTAGTGTATGGTGGCCGAGAACTGCCATTAACAATATTCAAATTTATAGGAATTATTTTTGTTATTTTTTTTTATTTCGATTTATTTCTCATTTTTCTTTTTAAAATAAAAGCAAGTGAAAGTAAAATGTAAAATAGAAATAAAATGAAACCAAAGATA